AATCAATTTGGCGCCGTTGCCATTTTGGGTTGAATATTGTTGCATTTGAGTTTCTAATACACTTGGACGATCAAGCTATCCCACCCTTGTTCTTTGTATTGCTGGGTTTTTGATTCTTTTTGCAGGTGTATGCGAACTCGATCGAGTCGAACAACAGAAGACTTGGTCGAGCTAGACTTCACCACGGGTAGAAAGAGAAGTCAGAGGACTCAGAGAGTACAAAAGGAACCAGAGGGGAATGGAAACCCTTTGGGCAATGGACTCGGTCGAGCTAGGCAAACTCGACCGATTGGTCTAGGAGATGCTCCAAACCGCCATTATAACTGACGTAAAATGCCGCTTTTCTTGTAGTGATGGCTTCAACAATGAGTCTTTGCTCTCTACTCTTTATAGAGGATGCTTAGCAAGATATAGAGAGATGTTGGACACAGCCAGCAATGGGAAATTCCTTAATCAGGATGTGGATGATGGCTGGCAGCTTGTGGAAAACATTTCAAACTCCAATGGAAGCTATGGAGAAGAATATGCATCTTTTGCATAGTTTTAGCACATCTTTTATGCATCTTTTGCATAGTTTTAGCTTCCATTTGCATATCTTGTTCCTTTTCTCTTCTTATGCATTCATGTTAGTTTTAGGTTGCATTTGCATACATATGCATGTTTGGTCCTTTGAAATAGGTCTTTTGGAGCATTCTGGAGCATATGGGACATGGAGCATGGAGGGACTTGGCACATGGAAGCAGCTCAACTGGACACGCAAAGGAAGAAGGGAGAAGCCATCTTGAAGACCAGCTCGACCGTCTACTCGACCAACCGGTCGAGTTCCTCAACTCGACCGGCCAAGCTTCAACTCGATCGAGCTGGAGTCAAAGTCAAACCCGAAAAATGTTGCTTCCCCCTTGACTTTCCTTTGACCCTAAACCTAATCCTCTTTGTATTTAAAGGCTCTAAGCCACGAAAAAACCACCAAGCTTTAGATTATTTTGTTTTAGTTTCTTTTAATTTATTGTCTTTTACTTTTTAGAGATCTAATCCCATCTTTGTGTTCTTGAAGCTCTTGCTTCTTGAATCCTAGATCCTGGATAATCTCTTTGTATTTGCACTTGCTTATTTCAATAAAAGTTGTTTAATTTCATCTCCTCTTTCTTATGATGTCTCTTTTATTGCATTTGCTTGTGTTTACATTCATGTGTAGTGAGTAGTTACCCATTAGGGTTTGAGATGGGATAGATTAGAGGTTTCATATGCTTAATCCTTCTAGCTTATGGTCTTAATCTAGATTCTCTCTCTTTTGGATAGATCTTAAGGCTACATGACCACTACCCCTGGCTTGTAAGTCCTTAGGCGACTCCCCACACGAAAGTGATGGCATTCGCTGGAAAAGATCCACTAAGAGCTCCAATATCTCTTGCTCTAGACAATAGAGGTCTAAGGGGTTGGATGGATTAGTTTGGGCAATGATCCTATAGCCTCCAAGGTTTGATTCTCACTGGCTAACCCCCTGTTTCTGAGATCATTCCTTGGTTGATAGCCTCCACCTTGGGAAAGGGTTGGCTAGGCATTGAGAAGCCCAATATCAAGAGAAGCCTTGATACAAGGAGTTTTAAGAGCTAGATTGATTAAGTGTAGATTCCTTTGATTGCAAAACCCTGTCTTGAACCCTAATTCTCTCTTTATCTTGTTAAAGTCGTCACCTTTAGCTTTGTTTGTCTCAACTCGTCCCTAAACTCGATCGAGCTGGTACTTTGTCTGACTCGACTCGAGCTCTTGGTCGAGCTGAACTTCACTGCTTTTTTACTTTTATTGCACTGCTTTTCATTTTATTTAGGTTGTTAGTGTTACTTCAAATCTATAACTGCTTGCTTGACTTTCCTGGTTGTTTCATATTCTCATAGAGTGACAAGTTTCCCATTTTGGATTGATAACCTCTTATACTTCAATGACTATGATGGTTAAGAGGGAATTGTTGATTGTGTTTGCACCATCATCTTTATTCACCCTGTTGCATTCCACCTCATTCATTATCATTCATTCATATCATTCACACCACAAAATCCTATCATCAATTTGGCGCCGTTGCCGATTTGGGAATATTTTTGTTGCATTTGAGTTTCAAACACACTTGGACGATCAAGCTATACCACCCCTGTTCTATTGTACTGCTGGGTTTTTGTCTCTTTTTGCAGGTGTATGCGAACTCGATCGAGTCGGTCTACAGAAGACTTGGTCGAGCTAGACTTACAACGGGTAGAAAGAGGGTTCAGAGGTCACAGAGGGTACAAGAGGAACCTGAGGTGCTTGTTGCTGATACAATGGATGTACCAGAGGGGAATGGAAACCCTTTGGGAATGGACTCGGTCGAGCTAGGCAAACTCGACCGATTGGTCAAGGAGATGCTCCAAACCGCCACCAACAGAGACAAGGGATTGTTCCACCACCAGTGCAGAACCACAACTTTGAGATCAAGCTGGGAATGATCAACCTTGTCCAGAACAAGATGTTCCATGGATTGCCAAGTGAAGACCCCATTGACCACCTTGATGAGTTTGATAGGCTTTGTGATTTGACAAAGATCAATGGTGTCTCTGAAGATGCCATCAAGCTGAGACTCTTTCCTATGTCTCTAGCTGACAAAGCTCACCAATGGGAGAAGAGCTTGCCCCATGGCACAATCACCACTTGGGATGAATGCAAGAAGGCCTTTCTTGCTAAGTTTTTCTCCACCGGTCGCACAGCCAAGCTTAGAGGAGAGATATCCAGCTTCATCCAGCGAAACAATGAGACATTCGCAGAGGCTTGGGAGAGGTTCAAAGGGTACACAAGTCAGTGCCCACACCATGGATTCAACAATGAATCACTACTCTCCACTCTTTATAGAGGATGCTTGCCTAGGTATAGGGAGATGCTAGACACAGCTAGCAATGGGAACTTCCTCAACCAGGATGTAGATGATGGCTGGCAACTTGTGGAGAACATAGCTAACTCAAATGGAAGCTATGGAGAAGAGTATGATCGCACCAACCGGAGCTCGACCCACCACTCGATCGAGTCAGACGAAAAGTTGAGAAAAGATGTTAAGGCATTGAATGAGAAGTTGGATAAGCTGATCCTAGCTCAGTCCACAATGAAGAAAGTCAACTTTGTGTCTGCTGAGGAGATGGAACCAGTCCAAGAAGGGGAGGATACACAATTTGCTGAGGTATGCTACATGAGCAATGGGCAAGGAGGTTACAACAAAGGATACTATAACTACAAGTCCAACCCTGCCATGTCATACCGCAACACTGATGTTGCTAACCCTCAGGACCAAGTATATCCTCAACAACAAGCAGCTCGATCGAGTCAGGTGCCACAACATGGGTATGGTCAAAAGAACAATTACCAAGGACCACAAGGCACTTTCCCTGGACAACAAATGAATATCCCACCAGGCTTCCCCCACCAACCGCCCCAGCCTGCACCTTCACAAGAGAATGAGCTCAAAGGCAATGCTAAAGCAACTACTTCAAGGGCAAGCTGATGGGGTAGTGGACACAAGCAAGAAGCTAGCTGAAATAAACTCTAAGATCGAGAACCTCAACACAAGGGTTTACTCTCTGGAGAATCATGCTTCTTCTGTTGCTGCTGCTACAAAGCAAGGACAACTACCTGGTAAAGCTATTCAGAACCCCAAGGAACAGTGCAAGGTCATCTTCACTCAAGAAGGACTTGTTGAAGAAGAGGATCAAGAAAGGGTCATTGAAGATTTTTGTTTACTGCTGAATGATGAAGAGATTGTTGCTGCTGAGGCTCCTGGAGTCCAGATTGATCAACCAGAAGTGCATGCACCTACTGTGGCCATTCACACTTCACCAGTTGAGCTCGCACGACAAGCTCGATCGGCAGCTCGATCGAGTCCAACTCTAGCTCGATCGAGTCCGACCTCTTCTGTCCGACAGCCTTTTTGCTTGATCCTTACCAACCGGTTGCCGCTTCCTCGTCTCGCCTACTTAGTCAAGGTCACAAGGAAGTGATTCACAAGTTCAGAAGAGATCTCAGTGGGATTGGAATTGAGTTGCCTACTATGTGTAAGATTGTGAATAACTCCGTGAGTGATTCTATTGACAAAGGGATCCTAATATAGGTACAAGAGGAGTAGGCTCCAAGTCTATCTTTACATATATGGGAATGTAATGAATGACGATATATCTAGTTTCTATATTCTAACACTCCCCCGCAGTCTTAGCGTCGAGGAGAACGGATGCTGAGACTGTTCTTGAACTCCTGAAACAGGGCCGACGGGAGGCCTTTGGTGAAGACGTCTGCAATTTGTCGTGCTGATGGAACATGGAGAACTTTGACTTCACCAATGGCAACTCTTTCTCGAACAAAATGGATGTCTATCTCGACATGTTTGGTGCGCTGATGTTGAACTGGATTGGTAGAGAGGTAGATGGCACTGACATTGTCACAATAGACGATCGTGGCACGAGGGATGGTGATCTTCATTTCAAGAAGGAGATTGCGGAGGAACGTAGTTTCGGCAACAGCGTTAGCGACGCCGCGATACTCGGCCTCTGCACTTGAGCGTGAGACTGTTTCGGCAACAGCGTTAGCGACGCCGCGATACTCGGCCTCTGCACTTGAGCGTGAGACTGTGGCTTGGCGTTTGGATGACCATGACAGAAGATTGTCACCGAGGAAGACACAATATCCGGAAGTAGAGCGTCGCGAGTTGGGACAGCCAGCCCAATCATCGTCTGAGTATGCCGTAAGCGTGAGAGGAGAGGAACGGTAGATGTGGAGGCCATGAGATATGGTACCTTTGACATACCGGAGAATCCGCTTCAATGCATTGAAGTGTGGTTCACGAGGATCGTGCATGAACAAACAGATTTGTTGAACCGCATACGAGATGTCCGGGCGAGTGAACGTCAGGTATTGTAAGGCTCCGGCAAGGCTGCGATAGAGAGATGGGTCAGCAACGGGTTTACCAGACTCAGCGGTGAGTTTCGAGTTGGTATCATCTGGAGTGAGGCAAGGATTGCATCATGTCATGTCAGCACGATGAAGAATGTCTGCGGCGTAGTTATGCTGTGTCATGACGATCCCATTGGAGTCGCGAGTGACGGAGATGCCAAGAAAGTGATGGACTGGACCGAGATCAGACATTTCAAACTCGGTGTTGAGGTTGGCAATGATTTTCGTGAGGAGAGAGGGAGCTGATGCTGTAAGGACGATGTCGTCGACATAAAGTAGCAGGTATGCGATGTCACTGCCATGAGACATGATGAAGAGAGATTGGTCAAGCTTGCTTTGATGAAACCCGATCTTCCGTGCGTATGTGGCAAAGCGGTTGTACCATGCCCGTGGAGCCTGCTTCAAGCCATAGATAGAACGTTTAAGCAGACAAACATGATTGGGTTTCGTTTTGTCGACGAACCCGGGTGGTTGATGCATGTACACCGTCTCCTCAAGGTCTCCATACAAGAAATCATTCTTGACGTCAAGTTGGTGAAGAGGCCAGTCGCGTGTGACAGCTACGGTGAGGACTGTGTGGATCGTTGCTGGCTTAACCACGGGGCTGAATGTTTCGTCACAATCGATGCCGGGTTGCTGTGATTTTCCATTCGCTACAAGTCGTGCTTTGTAACGATATAAGGAGCCGTCTGCGCGAAACTTGTGCCTGTAAAGCCATAAAGAAGAAATGATATTAGTAGCAACTGGCCGTGGGACAAGTACCCACGATTTACGTTTAATTTGAGCATCATATTCCTCCGTCATGGCATTATTCCAATGACTATCCTTAGCTGCTTGAATATGCGACGATGGTAAGGGAGAAATTGTGACGTCGGTGTGAAGACACAATGGAAGTCGTGGTTTGATGATACCACTTTTGCTGCGAGTGTTCATAGCATGATGAACAGGAGGAGCAGGTGGAGGAGGAGAGGGCGAAGGAGATTGAGTGGGAGGAGATGGAGGAGGAGGTGGAGAAGGAGGAGATGGAGGGGGAGATGGAGGAGCTGGTGGAAAAGGAGGAGGAGATGGAGACGTTACCTGTGGAGCATTGAGTGGGCTGGGAGGAGCAGGTAAACGAAGAATTGAAAGTGGAGGCACGAGCGGAGCAGTTTCTGAGACGATGTGTTTGGCACCAAAGGGAAAAACGGACTCATCAAAAGTGACGTGACGGGAGAGTATGATGCGCTGTGTTGATATCTCAAGACAGCGATCACCGCGATGATCCGTCGGATAACCGAGAAGCACACATGGAGTTGAGCGAGGAGCGAGTTTGTGTGGTGTCATCGGCAAAGTTTTTTTTTTTTTTTTTTTAGTTGAGCGAGGAGCGAGTTTGTGTGGTGTCATCGGCAAGAGGTTGGGATAGCAGAGACAACCAAACGTTCGGAGGTGCTGGCAGCGAGCTTCTTTTTGGAATAGCTTTGTGTAAGGAACTTGATTGTCAATGGCGGAGGAAGGCATGATGTTGATGAGATGGACCGCCGTGTGAAGAGCTTCGACCCAAAATGAGTGCGGCATGTGAGCCTGAATGAGCAAGGTGCGAATGAGGTTGTTGACTGTGCAGAGCATGCGTTCGGCTCTGCCGTTTTGTTGAGACGTGTATGGGCATGAGAAGCGGAATGTGGCGCCGATCTTGTCCATGTGAGCTTGGAAATCACGGTTAACATACTCTCCCCCGTTGTCACATTGCAGAGATTTTATCTTGCAATTAAATTGAGTCTGCACATAGGTAGAAAAGTGAATGAATTTGGACAAAGTTTCACTTTTGCGGTGAAGAGGATAAACCCAAATAAAATGAGAAAATTGATCAAGGAAGAGAAGATAGTATTTGATGCCACTAACGCTTTTAATTGGTGATGTCCATATATCGGAATGGACAATTTCAAAAGGGTGAAAAACCAAAGTATTAGATTTAGAAAAAGGTTGTCGAACATGTTTTCCAAGTTGACAAGCTGGACATAAAGTATTCAGAAAAGTTTTATTGCATAACGGAGAAACAGAAGATAAAACACGAAATAAAGATTGATTGCTTGGGTGGCCTAATCTGCGATGCCAAAGGGAACCATCCGTAGGAGAAGCAGCGAGAGCAAGATTTGATGGAGCAGAGAGAGACGGTTGGACGGAGTATAGCGGACCAGGGCTGTTACATCGGAGAAGCTTGGTCCGAGTAAACAGATCCTTAACACAAAAACCAAAAGGGTCAAATTCAATAGAACAAGAGTTATCAGTTGCAAATTTTCTCACCGAGACAAGATTTTTTATGATAGATGGGCAGACGAGGACATTATTAAGTGTAAAAGAGCGAGAAGGAGAAGAGATAGTTCCTTGACCAAGCGTCGTTACTCTAGCTAAGGATCCGTTACCAACAGTGATAGTAGGAATTGAGCTTGAATTAGACGTAAATCGTAGGTTACCTGCGTTTGATGCGATGTGGTTGGTGTCTCCCGTATCCATGTACCATGGGGCGTCATTGGGGTCTTGAAGCGCCATTGTATTGAAAGCATGGGTGATCTGAGCCGGCAACAGATTGTTGAGTGACGGCGTAGAGGTTGTCGAGCCACCATTAATCAAGTGAGCTTCATTGGTGGGCCTAGATGGGCCGGGACCAAGTAGCCCAGGTTGATTCACATGATGCGAGCCCATCTGGTTGTAACCTGGCGAGAAAGCTGGTGTGAAAGGATACTGCATCATTGGCCATTGTGGACGACCAAATGATGACGGCCACATCGGCATGTACGGCGATGAGGGCCACGAGTTGTATCAACCACCGCGTCCTCTGTTGTTACGTCCACGACCACGACCCCTGTAGTTTCCGTTACCACGGTAGTTTCCGCCATAGTTGCCGCCGTTGTTGTTGGTGGAGCCGTTTCCGTCACGAGATCTGTTGTCGGACGTCGTGTAGAGAACGGCAGGGGCAGAAGATGTGAGGTGATTGGTGGGATTCGGCTTGTGGTGCTTCGCAAGACGATCTTCTTCAAGTTGGAGCATCGATCGCGCCTCAATGAATCCGGGAAACGGAGATTTGTGCTTGATAACATTGATGATGCTATCATACTTCTCAGATAGTCCATTGAGAAGATGCATCACAAGAACCTTGTCGGTGATTGGAGAGTCGACGTTGGTCAGGAGGTCGGAGATGGACTTGAGCTTCTTGCAATAGTCGTGGATAGATATGTCTCCGATCACCGTGGTACGCAGATCGTTCTCGAGTTGCATTGCACGAGCTTCTTTGTTGTCACGGAAGAGATTCTCAATCGCAAGCCAGAGGCTGTTGGCTGTGCACTTTGGCTTGAGAACGGTTTCAAGGATTGAGTCAGATATGGTTCCATAGATCCACATCTTGACCAAATCATTGTGTTCTTTCCAGGATTTTTCGGTTTCAGCGGTGGGAGCAGAGGATCCGTCGATGTGACCGAGAACTCCGAAACTGTTGCAGTGAGTTTCAAAGAGCTCACGCCACATGTCGTAGTTGAGCTTGGTCATGTCGAGAGTGATGGGAACGTACGCTTTGATTTGGCTGATGCCAAAAGGTTTGTCGTTGGCTGGAGTTGTAGCCATAGTGAAATGAGAGGAAGAAGAAGAGATGAACGAGAGAGAAGAAGAGATGAGAGAGATAGGGGTGGGCGGCGAGTAAAAGAAAAGAGAGGAGATTTAGGTTTAAGAGAGTCTAAGCTCTGATACCATGTAAGATTGTGAATAACTCCGTGAGTGATTCACAAGTTCAGAAGAGATCTCAGTGGGATTGGAATTGAGTTGCCTACTATGGATAGCATGAGTGAGGCATTTGATCAAATGCAAATGGTCAAGGATGTTAGCCAACAGTGATAAAGTTTCAGAGGTCCTGAAAGAGTCTACTCATCAGTTCAACCTGCTTACTTCACCCACTTTCCTACCAAAGGTCAAGGATCAAGGGAAATTCACTCTCCCTTGCACACTTGGGCATCTTGAGATTGACAATGCCTTAGTGGATTCTGGAGCAAGCATCAATCTGATCTCTCTCTCCATGGCAGAGAAGCTAGGCATTGCTGGAGCCTTGCAGCGCCCTACTACTTCAATCATGTTTGGAGATGCAACTTCTAAGTCTCCTCTTGGAGTGTTCAAGAACTATCACTTGAAAATTGGAGAATGCATCATCCAAACTGATCTCACTGTGATGGAAATGGAAGAAGAGAAGGATTACCTTGTTATTGGGAACCCCTTTCCTTAGTACAGTTGGCGCTTCAATAGACTTTCACAAGCAAGAAGTGATCCTTCACAAGGTGAATAGTTTGGTGTCATATCGCTTGCAGCCTAGAGGTTCAGACTTTTGTGCCACAATTGACAGTACCACTCTCAGTTCTAAGAGTCATGGAGCTACAAAGGTTGTGAAGGAAAGGGTTGACAAGAACCAAGAGTTGGGAAGGATAAGGATGAGAGAGGACCAAGGATTGAGAAGCCACGTCTTGAGAGGGCTAGAGTTGAGAAACCACGATCTGATAGGCCAAGAGCTGAGAGACTTGTTCAAGCCCCTTGTGTGCTTGATGAAGAGAGCCTTCAAGCTTTGTTTGATGAGCCACTAGGAAGGGCTCTAAAAGAAGGGGAGGATGTAGCCTCTAAGGCAAGACCAGGTGATAAAAGAAAGGATCCACCAGCTCAGGCCCCTTCATCAAGCCATCTCAGCTCACAATGACTTTGTTCCCCACCAAGTTTGAAAATGGGAAGATTGAGTACAAGATAAGGTACAAGGGGAGATCAAGGCCATTCTCTAGAGCCAAAGCCTTGGTGACTTCAGAACAGTCCAGGGACCCAACCAAGCTAAAGGAGCTTCTGTCTCAAGTCCTCACTATCACCCTTGATGGTGGGACTAGCTCAACCAATGCCTAAGAAGGTAAAGGTCAAGCTATGGGACCTTAAACAAGCTCACTTGGGAGGAAGTCCCATGTTTATCCTTGTACATACTCTATTTATGCAATTTCTATCTATCTTTATGTTTTAACCTTTGAATAAGTTAAGTTTAGGTGTCAAAGGAGCCAGCTCGACCGACAGCTCGATCGAGCTAGAAACCAGGGCAACTCGATCGAGCTACACAACTCGACCGAGGTAAGTTTTTGAATTTCAAATTCATAACCGTTTTCTTGGTCAAGGGAGTGGGTCCCACAAGCTGATTTTGGTCCCCCACTACCCTAATTGATCAGAAATCCCTAGCTTTTGTCCCCTCTTTATTTCATCTTTTAATCTCAACCACACATCTCAAACACTCCCTCTTCCCCATAACTCGATCGAATCCACCTCTCTCTCTCCCACATCTAAATTTCTGAAATCATCCTCTCTCTCTCACCACAAGAAAATTTCGAATTTTCTCTCTTTCTCTCTAAGTTTTTGCGATTTCTCTTGTTCTTCATTGTTTCTTGGGTTTAGTTACTGTTCTTAATTCATCATTCAAGCAAGGTATGAACCCTAAAACCCTTGATTCCCATCTCGATTTCCATATTGCTTGTTTCTCTTTGATTTTTGATTGCATGTGTCCCTTGTGGACTTGTTCTTGAGTAATTGCTCATATTTCGCCTCTGCTGTATAATCTTTGTAATTTGTTTCACCTCACCTCTGTTTTGCCTTAAACTTGTTGCATGTGCTTGAAATTGAATTTGAGTTTGGTATTGGTTAAGATGCTTAGTGCTTCTCTATAGTTGCTCATTGTTCCATTTACTAGTTGTTCTTGGTTCAATTTGATTGATTAGCATCCTTTCCAGCTCTTAATCTTGAATTAGGTTTGGTTATACTCTGTTTTCACCCACTCGATCGAGTTTGTCACTCGAGTTTTTTGACTCGATCGAGCTGAGTGTCGAGTTGACCAAACCGATCATTGCAACTCTAATTCTTTGTAATCTTTGATGCATTTCAGGTACTTTAGTGAAGAAACAGAGTAACAAGATGACAAACAGTGAGGGAAGCCGCGCTTCACAGGGAGAATGGTTGAGGGTGAATCAAGCAATGCAAGAGAGAAAGGCTTAAGATGCAAGCCGATTTGGAGAAGATGATCAAGGATGGAAGAATCTGATGCAGAGGATATGTCTACTCTGAGGAACAGTCTGAGAGTGAGAGTTGAGGGAAGAAAGGAGAACCAAGAAGAGGAATGACCCTATAGTAGTGAGAGTGAGCAAGGAGAGTTTGAGATTGGAGTGAACCTTGTTCAAGAGGAGGGAAATGGCTCTCCAAATGAAGGAAGGAGTGAGGACTGAGAGTGAAGAGGAAGGAGAAGAGGTGAACAATTGGTTGAGAAGTGACAAGAGAACCAAGATGAGCCAATGGAAGAGGCTGAGCAGAGCAAGAGGAGGATGAGCTCCCCATGTACCAAGAGCACTACAATGCTCTCTTCTCCATGGACTTTGTGGAGACCAAGTACCCACATGATGACACATGAGAGATCCTTGGGATCTTTGAGGATGTGGAGTTGGTGCTCAAGAACATGCAATTGGGAAGTTCTTCTCTCACCGCATGGAGTCTACAAGGAGCTCACTTGTGAGTTTTTGGCGTCGATGAGCATCACGAGTTTGATGAGCTCGATCGAGCTGAGTTGGACCAAGGCTGGGGGTACACTTCTTGGCAAAGGGAGAGAAGAAGATGGTGACCTTTAGGCAGCTTGAGATACTGTTTGGGTTCACTATGGAGAAGGAACCATGGAACATCAAGGAAAAGAACTCCAAAGGTATGGGCTGCTGAAGAGGGGTACTCTTCCTCAAGGTCTGCCCAGATCAGAAGTCCTGTGCTTAGATATGTCCACAAGGCTCTTGCCAACACCTTCTTTGCAAGGAAAGCCACTGGACAATCAATGAGGGAGAAGTGAAGCTCCTTGACATGGGAATCAAGCCCATCATCTCACGCACAAGGATGGGAAGAAGATCAGAGGAGATAGGGCACAGCAGGGAACTCATGCCTCTCCTTGAGCAGCTCCAAGCCTACAAGGTCACAGCCTTACAACACTAGGCACAAGAGGAAGAAGCTTAGTGTTGGAGGGGTGATCACACCAATCTTTGTGCAGCTGGAGTCCAACTGGACAAGAGAAGGTCTACTCCACCAGGTTGGATGGACATCAAGTTTTGCAAGACCAACCTCCTCATTGAGCACAAGGAGTTGGATGGGAGATTCCAATTCAAGTTCACCCATCCATTGGCTGGCCCTCCAAGCTTCTTCTGCCCAACCCTGAGCTCACCACGGTCCTAGGAGGTACAACATTGATTCAGACCCCCTGTGTACACTTAGTTGGGCATGAAGCGGATTTGCAAGAAGAGGAGCCTGAGCTCGATCGAGCTGAGGATCGAGCTGAGGCTCAAGCTGAAGATGGAGTGCAGGAAGCGCTGGATTTGGGTGAGCCTGAGTGCTATTACTTTGAGGAGTATGAGGCTCCAAGGATGAACCCCTCTGTTGTGGCTGCCACAAGAGGATTGGACTTCTCCAAAAGTTCAACAAATGGCAAGGGAAAGCCATTGAGAAGATGCAAAAGTCCATGGACAAGATGGTGAGCAAGATCAAAAGTTTGGAGAAGAAGGTTTCTGGTTCTTCAAGCAAGAAGAAGAAGTCCAAGGCCCCACTTTCCCTAGGAGTAGATCACTCCTCACCACCCAAGGAGGCTCCCTGCCCAAGAGCCTCACAGAGCCTCTTCTTTCGAGCCAAGGGAAGGAGAAGACAACACGCAGAGAAGGAGGAAGACTTCCAAGGCCAGACGCTCCAGCTCGACCACCGGACTCGATCGAGTCCAAACAGAGGAAACTCAACTCGATCGAGCTGAGGTCGAGTTGACCTGGAGGAGCCAGTTCGAGAACCGGATTTGAGTACGATCCGCAGTACCAGGACCTCCAGAGATGGAACCCCTACACAGTTCGAGCTAGCCAGCTCCTCCAAGGCCAAGGAAGCCACACACATTTGAGATGAAGAAGAGGAGGAAGAGGAGCCGCAAGCTCGATCGAGTGAGCCGAGGCAACCCCAGTTGCATGGAGCGTCCTGATGGCCGTCTCCCATCTCCAGACCACGACCTAGTCTCCCAGTTCTTTGGGGGGCACTGAGGTATCCAAACACCAACCCTTGTATATACCATTTCATATTTTCTTGCATTTGTTCTTGTTTTTTCTTGGTTTTGCCCTCTTGAATCTTTCACTAAATTTTTCTCACACAAGGGACTGTGTGATTTAAGTTTGGGGGAGGGTTCAAGAGATGATTTAACCTTGTTTTCTTTGTTCTTAGTTTTTCATTTATCTTTTGCATAGAAAAACCAAAAAAATCATAAAATTTTCAAAAAATCCAAAAATATTTTCATCTTTTTGCATTCATATTTGTTAGACTTGTTTAGGATTGCATTTTTCACTTGCATTGTTGATTTGACTTTGAAAACTTGTCCATCTTTTGCGATTTCTTGAGTGCCCTGTTTTTAGATTCTTTTGTGCATTAGGGTGAGATTGATTGAGCAGCAAGAACCATGTTTATCTTGATCATATCACTGCATGCACATCTCATTCAACCATTGCTGTGATTTGATGCATTTCCCTATCTATTGAACCATAACTTGATCTTTAATTACCAATGCTTGCATTTGATTTCAACTCATGGCTACCACATACATATCTGGACATTCTTTACCTATTTTCATATCCCTTTTGCTTGTCCAGATAGCTGATCTCTATCTTTGAGACAGTTACCACACCTTAAACCTAAGCCTTTTCATTTCAAACCCCATATTATCTCTTGTGCGATTGTGAGAACCTTTCTTGGCTTTGCTTAGCATAAGGTGTTGTGTTTAAACCGGCAGGGGCAGTAGTTCTAGTTGTCTAGTTCTCTTGGGATTGTTTTCAGGCTAAGTTTGGGGGTGCCAACTCGAGCTCGATCGAGTTGGGTGTAAAAACCAGAAAAGTGGTAAAAGTTGGGAAAAACCAAAGGAAAAAGAGTTTAGTTAAGTCCAGGGAGTTGGCAGTGTTAAAAAGGGTCTAGTAAAGGTTTGGGAAGTTAAAAAAGGAAGTAAAAAGGGTTCTAAGTAGAATGAAAAGAAGGCAAAGCCTCAAGTGTCAAAAAGGAAAGAAAAGTTCCCTAAGTGTTTAGAAAATCCCAAACCGCTAGATGTTACCTCAAGAAGCCTCTCCCTAGGAAGTTCTTAAAAGAAAAGTGAGCAAAGCTCCTCAGTTTCAAAGGCGAAATGCCAAAAAGGGTAGTTAGGATTTTGTTCTAAAAAGCTCTAAGTGTTGAACTCGATCGAGTTAGGATTAGGCGGCTCGAGCTGCTGTTCTTGCATCATCTTTGGTTCTAACACTTAGCCTTCTGCCAAAGCAAAGCCACTTTCTTGAGAGATCCCTGTTACTAAACCACCATACAAAAGAGACCCTCTTTGTCTCTTAACCCATAAACCCTTGAAACCAAATGAGTTGATTGATCTTGCATGTTTTTGGTTCACTGTTTTTGCTTAATGAATGTTAAAGGGATTTGCTGATTTGAATGCATTGTTTGAGTGACTGTGAAGTGGGATTGATGTTGATAAGCATGGTTAAATCTTAATGAATATCTCTCACCTTGTTGCATTCTAGAATCTCTAAGTTGGACATTTAGCAAATCGCTTTTGAGGACATGTTTTTAAGTGTTGAATCAGCTTTTTTCAAACCTCATCTCTTTCTTGTTCTATTTGTTTGCTTGAGGGCAAGCAAAGTTCAAGTTTGGGGGTGTTGATGTACTTGCATTTTACATAGTTTTAGCACATCTTTTATGCATCTTTTGCATAGTTTTAGCTCCATTTGCATCATATCTTGTTCCTTTTCTCTTCTTATGCATTCATGTTAGTTTTAGGTTGCATTTGCATACATAAGATGAATGAAAAACTAAGAACAAAGAAAATAAGGTTAAATCATCTCTTGAACCCTCCCCCAAACTTAAATGAAAGATTCAAGAGGGCAAAACCAAGAAAAACAAGAACAAATAAGAAAATATGAAATGGTATATACAAGGGGTTGTGTTTGATACCTCAGTGCCCCCCAAAGAACTGGGAGGCTGGTCGTGGTCTGGAGAGGGCAGACGGCCATCAGGAGCGCTCCACTCGACTGGGTTCGCCTCACTCGATCGAGCTTGCGGCTCCTCTCTTCTTCTTCTTCATCTTCAAAGTGTGTGTGGCTTCCCTTGGCCTTGGTGGAGCATGGCTAGCTCGTACTGTCCATAGGGGTTCCATCTACTCCGGGGATGCTCCTGGTAAGGTGTTGGATCGTACTCAAATCCCGGATCTCACAAAGGCTCCTCCAGGTCAGCTCGACCGTCAGCTCGATCGAGTTGAGTTTCCTCTGTTTGACTCGATCGAGTCCGGTGGTCGAGCTGGAGCGTCTGGCCTTGGAAGTCTTCTCCTTCTCTGCGTGTTGTCCTTCTTCCCTTGGCGAAAGAAGAGGCTCTGTGAGGCTCTTGGGCAGGGAGCCTTCTGGAGTGGTGAGGAGTGACCTACTCCTAAGGAATGGGAACTCATGGGTGCCTTCTTCTTCTTGCTTGAAGAACCAGAAACTTTCTTCTCCAACTTCTTGATCTTGCTCACCATCTTGTCCATGGACTTTTGCATCTTCTCAATGGCCTTCCCTTGCCATTTGTTGAACTTTTGGAGAAGTCCAATCCTCTTGTGGGCAGCCACAACAGAGGGGTTCATCCTTGGAGCCTCATACTCCTCAAAATAATAGCACTCAGGCTCCCAAATCCGCACTCCCCTGGACCTCGATCCTCAGCTTGAGACTCAGCTCGACCCTCAGCTCGATCGAGCTCAGGCTCCTCTTCTCGCAAATCCGTCATGCCCAACTAAGTATACACAGGGGGTCTGAAGTCAATGTTCTCACCCCTTACTACTGTGGTGAGCTCTGGGTTGGGCAGGAGAAACTTGGAGGGTCCAACCAATGGATGTGTGAACTTGAATTGGAACCTCCCATCCAACTCCTTGTGCTCAATGAGGAGGTTGGTCTTGCAAAACTTGATGTCCATCCAACCTGGTTCAGTGGCTTCCTATCAGTTGGGTTCACTCCAGCAGCACACAAGATAGGAGTGATGAGCCCTCCAACACTTAGGCGCTCCCTTGTTGATGCGAGTGTTGTAGGCGTGGTCTTGTAGGTGAGGAGGTGATCAAGGAAAGGCATCAAGTTCCCTGTGTTGGATCTATCTCCCCTGATCCTCTTGCCATCGCTTGTGTCGTGAGAGGATGGGCTTGATTCCCATGTCAAGAAACTTGAGTTCCTGATGTACTTGCATTTTACATAGTTTTAGCACATCTTTTATGCATCTTTTGCATAGTTTTAGCTTCCATTTGCATCATATCTTGTTCCTTTTCTCTTCTTATGCATTCATGTTAGTTTTAGGTTGCATTTGCATACATATGCATGTTTGGTCCTTTGAAATAGGTCTTTTGGAGCATTCTGGAGCATATGGACGAGGAGCATGGAGGGACTTGGCACATGGAAGCAGCTCAACTGGATACGCAAAGGAAGAAGGGAGAAGCCATCTTGAAGACCAGCTCGACCGTCACTCGACCAACCGGTCGAGTTCCTCAACTCGACCGGCCAAGCTTCAACTCGATCGAGCTGAGAAGTCAAAGTCAAACCCGAAAAATGTTGCTTCCCCCTTGACTTTCCTTTGACCCTAAACCTAATCCTCTTGTATTTAAAGGCTCTAAGCCACGAAAAAACCACCAAGCTTTAGATTACTTTGTTTTAGTTTCTTTTAATTTATTGTCTTTTACTTTTTAGAGATCTAATCCCATCTTTGTGTTCTTGAAGCTCTTGCTTCTTGAATCTAGATCCTGGATAATCTCTTTGTATTTGCACTTGCTTATTTCAATAAAAGTTGTTTAATTTCATCTCCTCTTTCTTATGATGTCTCTTTTATTGCATTTGCTTGTGTTTACATTCATGTGTAGTGAGTAGTTACCCATTGGGGTTTGAGATGGGATAGATTAGAGGTTTCATATGCTTAATCCTTCTAGCTTATGGTCTTAATCTAGATTCTCTCTCTTTTGGATAGATCTTAAGGCTACATGACCACTACCCCTGGCTTGTAAGTCCTTAGGCGACTCCCCACACGAAAGTGATGGCATTCGCTGGAAAAGATCCACTAAGAGCTCCAATATCTCTTGCTCTAGAAATAGAGGTCTAAGGGGTTGGATGGATTAGTTTGGGCAATGATCCTATAGCCTCCAAGGTTTGATTCTCACTGGCTAACCCCCTGTTTCTGAGATCATTCCTTGGTTGATAGCCTCCACCTTGGGAAAGGGTTGGCTAGGCATTGAGAAGCCCAATATCAAGAGAAGCCTTGATACAAGGAGTTTTAAGAGCTAGATTGATTAAGTGTAGATTCCTTTGATTGCAAAACCCTGTCTTGAACCCTAATTCTCTCTATCTTGTTAAAGTCGTCACCTTTAGCTTTGTTTGTCTCAACTCGTCCCTAAACTCGATCGAGCTGGTCTTTGCTCTACTCGACTCGAGCTCTTGGTCGAGCTGCACTTCACTGCTTTGTTTACTTTTATTGCACTGCATTTCTTTTATTTAGGTTGTTAGTGTTACTTCAAATCTATTAACTGCTTGCTTGACTTCCTGGTTGTTTCATATTCTCATAGAGTGACAAGTTTCCCATTTTGGATTGATAACCTCTTGTACTCAATGACTATGATGGTTAAAGAGGAATTGTTGACTGTGTTTGTGTTTGCATCTTACCACCTCATCATATACCACTGATTGCATTCCACACATCTCATTTCATATCTTTTCACATCCACACACAAATCCTATCATCAGTTCTCGTTGATGGTCCCGGTTGCCTTCCTTGCAAAGAAGGTGTTGGCAAGTGCCTTGTGCACATATCTCAAGACTGGGCTCCTGATCTGAGCAGCCTTGGACCTTGAGGAAGAGTACCTCCATCAGCGATTGTAGCCCAAACCCTTTGGAGTTCTTTTCCTTGAAGTTCCACTCCTCTCCATAGTTGAACCCAAACAAGATCTCCAAGCTGCCTAAAGGTCACCATTCTCTTCTCTCCCTTAGCCAAGAACGTGATCCATCCCAATCCTTGGTCCAAATCAGCTCTATCCTTCCTCATCTACATGTGGTACCTCATTGAAGCCAAAGAACTCGCAAGTGAGCTCCTTGTAGGATTCCATGGTAGAGAAGAACTTGGCCAAGTGCATGTTCTTGAGACCAACTCCACATCTCAAAGATTCCAAGGGCCTTCATTGTGTCACATGTGGGTACTTGGTCTCCACAAAGTCCATGGAGAAGAGAGCATTGTAGTGCTCTTGGTACATGGGGAGCTCATCCTCCTCCTCTTGTGCTCCCCCTTCCATGGGCTCACTCATCTTCTCATGCTCACTCCTCAATCTCTTGATTGACTCTCTTCACCCTCTTCTTCACTTGGAGACCATCATTCTCCTCTTGAACAAGGTTCACCCAATCTCAAACTCTCCTTGCTCACTCTCACTACTAATGGGTCATTCCTCTTCTTGGTTCTCCTTTCTCCCTCAATCTCACTCTCAGACTCTCCTCAGATAGACATATCCTCTGCATCAGATCTTCCATCCTTGATCATCCAAATCGGCTTGCATCTTAAGCCTTTTTCTCTTGCATTGCTTGATTCCCTCAACCATTCTCCTTGTGAACGCTTCCCTCACTGTTTGTCATCTTGTTACACTGTTTCTTCACTAAAGTACCTGAAATGCATCAAAGATTACAAAGAATTAGAGTTGTAATGATCGGTTTGGTCAACTCGACACTCAGCTCGATCGAGTCAAAAAACTCGAGTGACAAACTCGATCGAGTTGGTGAAAACAGAGTATAACCAAACCTAATTCAAGTATTAAGAGCTGGAAAGGATGCTAATCAATCAAATTGAACCAAGAACAACTAGTAAATGGAACAATGAGCAATTCTAGTGAAAACATAGCAACCTTAACCAATACCAAACTCAAATTCAATTTTCAAGCACATGCAACAAGTTTAAAGGCAAAACAGAGGTGAGGTGAGGCAAATTCACAATAACAAATATAAGCAGAGAATGAAAAAAGCAATTACTCAAGAACAAGTCCACAAGGGACACATGCAATCAAAAATCAAAGAGAAACAAGCAATAATGGAAATCGAGATGGAGAATCAAGGGTTTTAGGGTTCATACCTTGCTTGAATGATGGAATTGAAGAGCAGTAAACTAGAACAAGCAAAACAATGAAGAACAAGAGAAATCGCAAAAACTTAAGAGAAAGAGATTGAAATCGATTTTTCTTGTGGTGAAGAGAGAGAGAGATGAGTTTCAGAAATTTTAAGATGTGGGAGAGAGAGAGGGTTCGATCGAGTTATGGGGAAGAGGGAGTGTTTGAGATGTGTGGTTGAGATTAAAAGATGAAATAAAGGGGAACAAAAGCTAGGGATTCTCTGATCAATTAGGGTAGTGGGGGACCAAAATCAGCTTGTGGGACCCACTCCCTTGACCAAGAAAACGGTTATGAATTTGAAATTCAAAAACTTACCTTGGTCGAGTTGTGAACTCGATCGAGTTGCCCTGGTTTCTAGCTCGATCGAGCTGTCGGTCGAGCTGGCTCCTTTGTCACCTAAACTTAACTTATTGAAAGGTTAAACTTAACTTATTGAAAGGTTAAAACATAAAGATAATAGAAATTGCATAAATAGAGTATGTACAAGGATAAACATGGGACTTCCTCCCAAGTGAGCTTGTTTAAGGTCCCATAGCTTGACCTTTACCTTCTTAGGCATTGGTTGAGCTAGTCCCACCATCAAGGGTGATAGTGAGGACTTGAGACAGAAGCTCCTTTAGCTTGGTTGGGTCCCTGGACTGTTCTGAAGTCACCAAGGCCTTGGCTCTAGAGAATGGCCTTGATCTCCCCTTGTACCTTATCTTGTACTCAATCTTCCCATTTTCAAACTTGGTGGGGAACAAAGTCATTGTGAGCTGAGATGGCTTGACTGAAGGGGCCTGAGCTGGTGGATCCTTTCTTTTATCTCCTGGTCTTGCCTTAGAGGCTGCATCCTCCCCTTCTTGTAGAGCCCTTCCTAGTGGCTCATCAAACAAAGCTTGAAGGCTCTCTTCATCAAGCACACAAGGGGCTTGAACAAGTCTCAGCTCTTGGCCTATCAGACGTGGTTTCTCAACTCTAGCCCTCTCAAGACGTGGCTTCTCAATCCTTGGTCCTCTCTCATCCTTATCCTTCCCAACTCTTGGTTCCTTGTCAACCCTTTCCTTCACAACCTTTGTAGCTCCATGACTCTTAGAACTGAGAGTACTGTCAATTGTGGCACAAAAGTCTGAACCTCTAGGCTGCAAGCGATATGACACCAAACTATTCACCTTGTGAAGGATCACTTCTTGCTTGTGAAAGTCTATTGAAGCGCCAACTGTACTAAGGAAAGGGGTTCCCAATAACAGAGGTAGATCCTTCTCTTCTTCCATTTCCATCACAGTGAGATCAGTTTGGATGATGCATTCTCCAATTTTCAAGTGATAGTTCTTGAACACTCCAAGAGGAGACTTAGAAGTTGCATCTCCAAACATGATTGAAGTAGTAGGGCGCTGCAAGGCTCCAGCAATGCCTAGCTTCTCTGCCATGGAGAGAGAGATCAGATTGATGCTTGCTCCAGAATCCACTAAGGCATTGTCAATCTCAAGATGCCCAAGTGTGCAAGGGAGAGTGAATTTCCCTTGATCCTTGACCTTTGGTAGGAAGGTGGGTGAAGTAAGCAGGTTGAACTGATGAGTAGACTCTTGTAGGACCTCTGAAACTTTATCACTGTTGGCAGAACATCCTTGACCATTTGCATTTGATCAAATGCCTCACTCATGCTATCCATAGGAGGCAACTCAATTCCAATCCCACTGAGATCTCTTCTGAACTTGTGAATCACTTCCTTGTGACCTTGACTAAGTAGGCGAGACGAGGAAGCGGCAACCGGTTGGTAAGGATCAAGCAAAAAGGTTTGGGACAGAAGAGGTCGGACTCGATCGAGCTAGAGTTGGACTCGATCGAGCTGCCGATCGAGCTTGTGTGCGAGCTCAACTGGTGAAGTGTGAATGGCCACAGTAGGTGCTGCACTTCTGGTTGATCAATCTGGACTCCAGGAGCCTCAGCAGCAACAATCTCTTCATCATTCAGCAGTAAACAAAAATCTTCAATGACCCTTTCTTGATCCTCTTCTTCAACAAGTCCTTCTTGAGTGAAGATGACCTTGCACTGTTCCTTGGGGTTCTGAATAGCTTTACCAGGTAGTTGTCCTTGCTTTGTAGCAGCAGCAACAGAAGAAGCATGATTCTCCAGAGAGTAAACCCTTGTGTTGAGGTTCTCGATCTTAGAGTTTATTTCAGCTAGCTTCTTGCTTGTGTCCACTACCCCATCAGCTTGCCCTTGAAGTAGTTGCTTTAGCATTGCCTTGAGCTCATTCTCTTGTGAAGGTGCAGGCTGGGGCGGTTGGTGGGGAAGCCTGGTGGGATATTCATTTGTTGTCCAGGGAAAGTGCCTTGTGGTCCTTGGTAATTGTTCTTTTGACCATACCCATGTTGTGGCTTGACTCGATCGAGCTGCTTGTTGTTGAGGATAGACTTGGTCCTGAGGGTTAGCAACATCAGTGTTGCGGTATGACATGGCAGGGTTGGACTTGTAATTATAGTATCCTTTGTTGTAACCTCCTTGCCCATTGCTCATGTAGCACACCTCAGCAAATTGTGTATCCTCCCCTTCTTGGACTGGTTCCATCTCCTCAGCAGACACAAAGTTGACTTTCTTCATTGTGGACTGAGCTAGGATCAGCTTATCCAACTTCTCATTCAATGCCTTAACATCTTTTCTCAACTTTTCGTCTGACTCGATCGAGTGGTGGGTCGAGCTCCGGTTGGTGCGATCATACTCTTCTCCATAGCTTCCATTTGAGTTAGCTATGTTCTCCACAAGTTGCCAGCCATCATCTACATCCTGGTTGAGGAAGTTCCCATTGCTAGCTGTGTCTAGCATCTCCCTATACCTAGGCAAGCATCCTCTATAAAGAGTGGAGAGTAGTGATTCATTGTTGAATCCATGGTGTGGGCACTGACTTGTGTAGCCTTTGAACCTCTCCCAAGCCTCTGCGAATGTCTCATTGTTTCGCTGGATGAAGCTGGATATCTCTCCTCTAAGCTTGGCTGTGCGACCGGTGGAGAAAAACTTAGCAAGAAAGGCCTTCTTGCATTCATCCCAAGTGGTGATTGTGCCATGGGGCAAGCTCTTCTCCCATTGGTGAGCTTTGTCAGCTAGAGACATAGGAAATGGTAGAAAATATGAAATAGTATGTACAAAGGGGTTGTATTTGGTACCTCAGTGCCCCCCAAAGAACTGGGAGGCTAGGTCGTGGTCAGGAGATGGTAGACGGCCATCAGGAGCACTCCACTCGACTGGAGTCGCCTCACTCGGTCAAGCTTGCGGCTCCTCCTCTTCTTCTTCTTCATCTTTAAAGTGGGTGTGGCTTCCTTGGCCTTGCTGGAGCTGCGCCTGCTCGAAACGGTTGTAGGGGGTCTAGTAGGTCTGGGAGAAGTCCTGGTAAGGCGTTGGATCGTACTCAAATCCGGGGTTCTCAAACAGGGGCTCCTCCAGGTCAGCTCGACCCTCAGCTCGATCGAGTTGAGTTTCCTCTGTTTGGACTCGATCGAGTCCTGTTGTCGAGCTGGAGCGTCTGACCTTAGAGCTCTTCCTCCTCCTCTGCGAGCTGCCTTCTCCTTCCCTTGGTTCGAATGAAGAGGCTCGGTGAGGCTCTTGGGCAGGGAGCCTTCTTTGAGTGGTGAGGAGTGATCTACTCCTAAGGAAAGTGGGGGCCATGGTTGCATAAATAGAGTATGTACAAGGATAAACATGGGACTTCCTCCCAAGTGAGCTTGTTTAAGGTCCCATAGCTTGACCTTTACCTTTTAGGCATTGGTTGAGCTAGTCCCACCATCAAGGGTGATAGTGAGGACTTGAGACAGAAGCTCCTTTAGCTTGGTTGGGTCCCTGGATTGTTCTGAAGTCACCAAGGCCTTGGCTCTAGAGAATGGCCTTGATCTCCCCTTGTACCTTATCTTGTACTCAATCTTCCCATTTTCAAACTTGGTGGGGAACAAAGTCATTGTGAGCTGAGATGGCTTGACTGAAGGGGCCTGAGCTGGTGGATCCTTTCTTTTATCTCCTGGTCTTGCCTTAGAGGCTGCATCCTCCCCTTCTTTTAGAGCCCTTCCTAGTGGCTCATCAAACAAAGCTTGAAGGCTCTCTTCATCAAGCACACAAGGGGCTTGAACAAGTCTTCAGCTCTTGGCCTATCAGATCGTGGTTTCTCAACTCTAGCCCTCTCAAGACGTGGCTTCTCAGTCCTTGGTCCTCTATCAACTCCTTGTCCTTCTCTTCCTTATCCTTCCCAACTCTTGGTTCTTTGTCAACCCTTTCCTTCACAACCTTTGTAGCTTCATGACTCTTAGAACTGAGAGTTGTACTGTCAATTGTGGCACAAAAGTCTGAACCTCTAGGCTGCAAGCGATATGACACCAAACTATTCACCTTGTGAAGGATCACTTCTTGCTTGTGAAAGTCTATTGAAGCGCCAACTGTACTAAGGAATGGGGTTCCCAATAACAGAGGTAGATCCTTCTCTTCTTCCATTTCCATCACAGTGAGATCAGTTTGGATGATGCATTCTCCAATTTTCAAGTGATAGTTCTTGAACACTCCAAGAGGAGACTTAGAAGTTGCATCTCCAAACATGATTGAAGTAGTAGGGCGCTGCAAGGCTCCAGCAATGCCTAGCTTCTCTGCCATGGAGAGAGAGATCAGATTGATGCTTGCTCCAGAATCCACTAAGGCATTGTCAAGCTCAAGATGCCCAAGTGTGCAAGGGAGAGTGAATTTCCCTTGATCCTTGACCTTTGGTAGGAAAGTGGTGAAGTAAGCAGGTTGAACTGATGAGTAGACTCTTCAGGACCTCTGAAACTTTATCACTGTTGGCTATAACATCCTTGACCATTTGCATTTGATCAAATGCCTCACTCATGCTATCCATAGGAGGCAACTCAATTCCAATCCCACTGAGATCTCTTCTGAACTTGTGAATCACTTCCTTGTGACCTTGACTAAGTAGGCGAGACGAGGAAGCGGCAACCGGTTGGTAAGGATCAAGCAAAATTGGTTTGGGACAGAAGAGGTCGGACTCGATCGAGCTAGAGTTGGACTCGATCGAGCTGCCGATCGAGCTTGTTGTGCGAGCTCAACTGGTGAAGTGTGAATGGCCACAGTAGGTGCTGCACTTCTGGTTGATCAATCTGGACTCCAGGAGCCTCAGCAGCAACAATCTCATCATCATTCAGCAGTAAACAAAAATCTTCAATGACTCTCTCTTGATCCTCCTCTTCAACAAGTCCTTCTTGAGTGAAGATGACCTTGCACTGTTCCTTGGGGTTCTGAATAGCTTTACCAGGTAGTTGTCCTTGCTTTGTAGCAGCAGCAACAGAAGAAGCATGATTCTCCAGAGAGTAAACCCTTGTGTTGAGATTCTCGATCTTGGAGTTGATTTCAGCTAGCTTCTTGCTTGTGTCCACTACCCATCAGCTTGCCCTTGAAGTACAACACCATCAGCTTACCCTTGAAGCAACTGTTTCAGCATGGCCTTGAGCTCATGCAACGGCACCAAATTGATGATAGGATTTGTGTGTGGATGTGAAAGATATGAAATGAGATGTGTGGAATGCAATCAGTGGTATATGATGAGGTGGTAAGATGCAAACACAAACACAGTCAACAATTCCCTTTAACCATGATAGTTGATGTAGTACAAAGGGTTATCAATCCAAAATGGGAAACTTGTCACTCTATGAGAATATGAAACAACCAGGAAGTCAAGCAAGCAGTAGATATGAAGTAACACTAACAACCTAAATGAAACAGAAATGCAATGCAAAAGTAAATAAAGCAGTAGAGCAACAGCTCGACCAAGGACTCGAGTCGAGTGGAACAGAGTACCGAGCTCGATCGAGTTTAGGGTCGAGTTGAACAAAAAGCTAAAGGCAGCGACTTTAACAAGCTAAGAGAGAATTAGGGTTCAAGACAGGGTTTTGCAATCAAGGAACTACACTTAATCAATCTGCTCTTAAAACTCCTTGTATCAAGGCTTCTCTTGATATTGGGCTTCTCAATGCCTAGCCAACCCTTTCCCAAGGTGAAGGCTATCAACCAAGGAATGATCTCAGAAACAGGGGGTTAGCCAGTGAGAATCAAACCTTGGAGGCCATAGGATCATTGCCCAAACTAATCCATCCAACCCCTTAGACCTCTATTTCTAGAGCAAGAGATATTGGAGCTCTTAGTGGATCTTTTCCAGCGAATTTGCCATCACTTTCGTGTGGGGAATCGCCTAAGGACTTACAAGCCAGGGGTAGTGGTCATGTAGCCTTAAGATCTATCCAAAAGAGAGAGAATCTAGATTAAGACCATAAGCTAGAAGGATTAAGCATATGAAACCTCTAATCTATCCCATCTCAAACCCTAATGGGTAACTACTCACTACACATGAATGTAAACACAAGCAAATGCAATAAAAGAGACATCATAAGAAAGAGGAGATGAAATTAAACAACTTTTATTGAAATAAGCAAGTGCAAATACAAAGAGATTATCCAGGATCTAGGATTCAAGAAGCAAGAGCTTCAAGAACACAAAGATGGGATTAGAGCTCTAAAAAGTAAAAGACAATAAATTAAAAGAAACTAAAACAAAATAATCTAAAGCTTGGTGGTTTTTTCGTGGCTTTTAGCCTTTAAATACAAAGAGGATTAGGTTTAGGGTCAAAGGAAAGTCAAGGGGGAAGCAACATTTTTCGGGTTTGACTGTTGACTTCTCAGCTCGATCGAGTTGAAGCTTGGCCGGTCGAGTTGAGGAACTCGACCGGTTGGTCGAGTAGTGGTCGAGCTGGTCTTCAAGATGGCTTCTCCCTTCTTCCTTTGCGTATCCAGTTGAGCTGCGTCCATGCCAAGCTCCATGTCCATATGCTCCAGAATGCTCCAAAAGACCTATTTCAAAGGACCAAACATGCATATGTATGCAAATGCAACCTAAAACTACATGAATGCATAAGAAGAGAAAAGGAACAAGATATGATGCTAATGGATGCTAAAACTATGCAAAAGATGCATAAAAGATGTGCTAAAACTATGTAAAATGCAAGTACATCATTACCTTAGTAGCCTCTCCCTAGGAAGTTCTTAAAAGAAAAGTGAGCAAAGCTCCTCAGTTTCAAAGGCGAAATGCCAAAAAGGGTAGTTAGGATTTTGTTCTAAAAAGCTCTAAGTGTTGAACTCGATCGAGTTAGGATTAGGCGGCTCGAGCTGCTGTTCTTGCATCATCTTTGGTTCTAACACTTAGCCTTCTGCCAAAGCAAAGCCACTTTCTTGAGAGATCCCTGTTACTAAACCACCATACAAAAGAGACCCTCTTTGTCTCTTAACCCATAAACCCTTGAAACCAAATGAGTTGATTGATCTTGCATGTTTTTGGTTCACTGTTTTTGCTTAATGAATGTTAAAGGGATTTGCTGATTTGAATGCATTGTTTGAGTGACTGTGAAGTGGGATTGATGTTGATAAGCATGGTTAAATCTTAATGAATATCTCTCACCTTGTTGCATTCTAGAATCTCTAAGTTGGACATTTAGCAAATCGCTTTTGAGGACATGTTTTTAAGTGTTGAATCAGCTGTTTTCAAACCTCATCTCTTTCTTGTTCTATTTGTTTGCTTGAGGGCAAGCAAAGTTCAAGTTTGGGGGTGTTGATGTACTTGCATTTTACATAGTTTTAGCACATCTTTTATGCATCTTTTGCATAGTTTTAGCATCCATTGCATCATATCTTGTTCCTTTTCTCTTCTTATGCATTCATGTAGTTTTAGGTTGCATTTGCATACATATGCATGTTTGGTCCTTTGAAATAGGTCTTTTGGAGCATTCTGGAGCATATGGGACGTGAGGAGCAAAGGAAGAAGGGGAAGCCATCTTGAAGACCAGCTCGACCACCACTCGACCAACCGGTCGAGTTCCTCAACTCGACCGGCCAAGCTTCAACTCGATCGAGCTGGAAGTCAAAGTCAAACCCGAAAAATGTTGCTTCCCCCTTGACTTTCCTTTGACCCTAAACCTAATCCTCTTGTATTTAAAGGCTAAGCCACGAAAAAACCACCAAGCTTTAGATTATTTTGTTTTAGTTTCTTTTAATTTATTGTCTTTTACTTTTTAGAGCTCTAATCCCATCTTTGTGTTCTTGAAGCTCTTGCTTCTTGAATCCTAGATCCTGGATAATCTCTTTGTATTTGCACTTGCTTATTTCAATAAAAGTTGTTTAATTTCATCTCCTCTTTCTTATGATGTCTCTTTTATTGCATTTGCTTGTGTTTACATTCATGTGTAGTGAGTAGTTACCCATTAGGGTTTGAGATGGGATAGATTAGAGGTTTCATATGCTTAATCCTTCTTAGCTTATGGTCTTAATCTAGATTCTCTCTCTTTTGGATAGATCTTAAGGCTACATGACCACTACCCCTGGCTTGTAAGTCCTTAGGCGATTCCCCACACGAAAGTGATGGCATTCGCTGGAAAAGATCCACTAAGAGCTCCAATATCTCTTGCTCTAGAAATAGAGGTCTAAGGGGTTGGATGGATTAGTTTGGGCAATGATCCTATGGCCTCCAAGGTTTGATTCTCACTGGCTAACCCCCTGTTTCTGAGATCATTCCTTGGTTGATAGCCTCACCTTGGGAAAGGGTTGGCTAGGCATTGAGAAGCCCAATATCAAGAGAACAAAGTAAAAGCAAGCAAAACTTTATTAAGATGTAAAATAGAATGTGGTCTCTCTCCTTCTTGTTACAAGGCTAAAAAGAAGTATTTATAATGCTCTAAGTATAAGAAGACGGCTAAACCTAATCTAGCTAGGTCGGCGCCGGCTTTGGGCTTGAATTGTGCGGATTGGGCTTCAAAAACGGCTTCGGGTCGACCGCGGCGTTCGGACGGTCGTCGGGACGATCGGCCGGACAGTCGGGTTGTGGCCGAGTCGGAACGGTCGGGGCCGGATGGATTCACGGTCGGCCGGCTGGTCGGCGGATGAAGATTTGGCCGATGGTTTCTCGGCCGGACGTGGGACGTTCTTTCCCGGCTCGGACGGATGCATCGGCCGTGGTACGCGAACGGGTTGCGCGGCCGCGAGGCTTGTTCCCGGCTCGCGCGGCATGGTCGTGCGCGGCGTGGCGAGGTTTGGCTTGGCCGACCGCGGGACAATGTTTCCCGGGTCGTGTTGCGTGATCGGCCGATTTGAACTTTGGCCGAGACTTCAGACGGACGGATATGCTTTGGCCGAGCGCGGAACATCGTTCCTCGGCCAGCCGGTCTGCGCGGTTGGGCGCTGATTCTCGATAGAGCCGTCTGGAGCAGTCTTCACTCTTTTGGCTATAACTCCTTTTCTACTCATCCAAATAGGCCGTTCCAGTTGCGTTGGAAAGTTAACTCAATCAGAGCACGCAGGGAACTGGTCTTGATGAAATCCATTGAGTAGATCTTTTTCTAGCTCCATCCAAAGTTGATGCAGGGGCATTGAACTGGTTTAGAGTCCAAATCCTGTTTTGCTCCATAATGCATCTTTTTACCTAAAATGACTCTTTGCACTATAAATCCATAAAAACTACCTTTTAACACAAGAATCCACTAGAAAACCATTAGAAAACCATAGTAAAATAGCATAAAAAGTAGGTAAAATAGAGGTATATCAACTCCCCCAGACTTAGATCTTTGCTTGTCCCCAAGCAAAAAGAATCTAAACTAGTGAAGAGGTTTTGAAAAACGTGGAACTCCTTGCTTCTTTGAAATCCTGTGAAAGGTTCCTTTCCTGTATTCCACTAAGAACATAGTCAACATAAGGTTAGCTTCACATACACCCTGCAAGTTTAGCGAACAATACCAACCCAACTAGTCTCATCCAGCAATCCAAACTCTCTATTGCTAACCTCTTGCATAAATTTAAAGCGTGAGTTCTTTATCAAGGGAACATCGATCAATTGAACTTGTTCTTACCCACTTGATCTTCTCCAAGATTGTCTTTGAAGTGCAATGAGTTCTTTTCCTCTCTCTTTCTCACATCAGAACTTTGAAAGGTCAATTTCTCCCTACTTTTCTAGGGTATCATTTTATTTTTTCTATTGACCCTTCTTTCAACCACAGGATAAGTCTTTAGCTTGTTCCTTGTTTGACTAAGGTATTCCATAAGACATGAAGGTACAGACATATGCATTCCTCATGCTTACTTGTTTTCCTTGTGCTCTTTGAGCTTTTCTCATAAACATTACTTACCATTTGGGATGGGAGAGAGAGGAGAACTCTTTAGACAAATCTCATTGAAAATCAAGCAAGGAACTGTCGACATGTATGCCAATCCCCTTGACAAGAGTTATTAAGATTGATTAAGGGTGAGGTTAACTCTAGATTGCTTGGTTACCTTAGAAATTTGCTGAGCTAGCATGCGATCCACTGTAGGAGCTTCTGTTAGGCTTGTGCCTTCAGCTGATGTTTGCTCTAGGGTCATAGATTGTTAGCATAACACTATCAAATCTCAAAGCAAGTTCATTGTTCCGGACTGGTTTTGACTCAATAAAACAGAAGTTTTGAAAAAGTGGGTTAGGAAAAACCAATTATAAGATCAAAACAACCATGAACAAACACATTAGTACCGACAATCCCCCCAGACTTAACTTGCACCGTCCCGGTGAAAGAAAATCCAATTAAGGGAGTTAAAGAAAGAGGTAATAAAGTGGTTGTGAATGTAAAAAGAAAGATGTAACCTGATTTTGTGTTACTTGAAGAATGGTGAATGCAGTGGAATGATGGTAGTGATGGAATGCAAGTGTGGTGAGGTGGGATGGGTGAGATGCAGATGGAATGAGATGGGATGGTGTGTTGGGCGGCTTGAGAGGACATGGGCGAGCGTGGAGAGGTTCTGCTCGGCCATCAAGTCGCGCCAACTATGAACATTCTTCTTGTGGTATATCTTCTTTACCATTGTGTGGTTCTTAGATTCCTGTATCCAAAACTCAAAACAAAACTAGACATTAACTAAAACTAATTGAAAAGAAAAGTAAAGAAAAACACCTTTCATGGGTTGCCTCCCATGCAGCGCTTCTTTTTGAGTCATTAGCTTGACTGATAGGATCTCTTAGTTGGAGATGGGGTAAGGGCACGGCCTGAGACATAGTCTTTTAGTTCTTGTCTCATTGTGACCTTGAGTGTGGTCTGGTGGCTCTCTTGGGCGGCCTTGGGCAGTGATGAGGTAAGACAGCTTGTTTGGTGAGATGAATGGTATGGTCTTGTAAAAGACTGTCTTGTCACATTGGCTAAGGACATTCGCCGGTTTGGAAGGTCCATGACAGCTCCAGCAGTGGCCAAAAAGGGTCGGCCTAGTATCAATGGTGTGTCACATCCTCCTTGAATGTTTATGACATGAAAGTCCACCGGGATCTTGATATCTCCAATCTCTAGAAGAACATCAATAACAACTCCTCTTGGCTTGGCTATAGTATGGTTAGCAAGTCCAATACTAATTTGAGCAGGTTGCAAGCGTGTGATGCCAAGGAGTTTGGCGGTTTGGGTTGGCATGAGGTTTATGCAAGAGCCAGAATCGCATAGTGTTCTATCAAAGTAATGACCATTTACTTGACAGGGAATAGAGAATTGACCTGGGTCTTCAATCTTGTAGAGGGTCTTGAAGGTAGGCTGAACTTTAGCTTTCTCAAAAAGCTCTTATGTCCTCAGGTGTCTCCTTGCAGTTGTGGAAGAAAGGTGGTGAATGGGTAGTGGCGCCAAGCTTGTTTGGAAGACATGCTGGCTGGAAGAGTTTGGACAAACTGATTGAACTCAGCAAGCTTCTCTCTTGATATGGAATTGACATACCACTTGGGTGGTGGTGATGATGGTGGTGATGGTGGTTGATTGACTGCATGAGGGGCAAGGGGAAATCGAGCCTTCCTGAAAAGTTGGTGTATCTCTTCTTTGTTTTCACTAGTTGTGAAAAAGAACTCCACTAGACCATGTTTATCCCAAGCTTCTTCAAAAGTGACATAGAATGGAAGTGATTTCACCTTAGCATTGAACTCTTTAAGCTTCATGGGGCTTATCTTGTTGGGATCAATGGGATCATACTGCCAAGTATCTTCTTCTTCAGTAGGTGGTGATGGTCTTTGCATTGCTTCCAATCTTGGAAGTGTAGAAGCTTGACTTCTTGGTGAGAAACGAGGGTCTCTAGGGCTAGGTGTATCCATGCTCTGTTTTGGGGAAGCATTGATGTCGATGCTCTGCTCTTCATCTTCATCATTCAATTGTTCCTCATACTCTCTTTCTTCTTCTTCATTGTCCTCATGGACTTGAGTAGTGCTTCTTCTTGTGATGGCATTGCAATAAAAGGGAGGGTGGTTGGGTGTTGGACTCCTCTCTCTCTTGTAAGTTGGCATGAGATGATCCTTCAAGGGCTTGTAGGCGGTTGTAGATTGATCCAAGGTGCTTGCTATTGCCATAGCTAGTATCTTCAATTCTCATGCTCTTGTTCAGCAACTCTTGATATTTGGAAGCAACATCAAGCTTAACTAGGGTCAAAGATCGATCATGATCCTCTCTTAACTTCTTAATGTCTTCATCAAGCTTGATCACTTGCTTGAATAGGACTTCAGATTTGTTTCCAAGGCTCTCATGGATGAAATCGATTCTTCTCTCCATCTTCTTTGTACTCTTCTTGATTTCTCAAGTACTCTTGAAGCATATCTTCAATCTTGGTTGGGCGCAGCTTGATAGCTCTCCCTTGGGAAAAATGTGTCTTGTTTATGTCTGGTGATGATGGATGGTATTGTGAATAGCTTGGGCGTGGTGGTGGGACATAAACAGGACCTTTATCAAATCTGTGAGGAAAGCTTCCTTTGTATCCATTCCAAGTCTTGAAAGCATGTTGGGCATTGAACTTAGCCCATTCTTTGGCTTGTCCAGCTAGAGATAGTTGGAAAAGTTGTATCTTCTTGGGGTTGTCTCCAAGTCCATAGTCATGCAAAGCTGCTCAAAGTTGCATAGATGCTCCTTTGCACATTCTGAAATAGAATTGTAGAAAGGATTCCTCTCCACATGCTTGATTAGCTCTTCATTGATCAGGATGAGGTGGTATGCCTCCCCATTCTTCTTCATCACGCTCTCTTCCAGCTGATGAGAGTAGTGGTGGTACTTGGATTTGAAAGGTGGCTTCTTGCAAATCTTTCCAAGAAAGCTTCTCTAAAATCGATCCATGACTCGATTGTAGAGGTGGTTCATGCTGCGCCCAATCTAGTGCTGGTCCAGCTAGTGATGTGCTGAATAGCATCATCTTCTTCTCAAAGTCAAAAACTCCATAGGAATCACAAAGATTGTCAAAGTGATCTATGTGCTCCATGCATACTCTGAAAACAGATCATGGAATTGATCTCTCTTCACGAACTCGATCAGCTCAGGGTTCAATCTCCTCTTCTGGTGTGGCTAGAAGGTTCTTCTTGGTGTGATGCGGCTTGGCTAGACGTCTCCAGGTCGGCTGCTTCAAGGTAAGGAAGAAGTTTCTTCTTTGTCTTCAAAGTGGATGGTCTTGGAGGACTATCCCATGAAGGTGGTGGTGCTTGAGGGCTTAACATCTCTTGTTCGCTCAAGAGGTGCTTTGAGGTGGTATGTGGCGAATTGGCATCGCCTTTATAGGGGAAGAGGCTTGTGGCTCCTTCTCCATATCTAACTAGGAAAACCTGAAAAGCTAAAAACAAAAAGGAAAAACCAAAAAAGGAAAAACAAAATCAAAGAAAAAGGAAATAACAAAAACAAAAAGGAAAAGTGAAAACCCTAGACTAGCTCTCTTGCAAGAGCTTGTAGGTGCGAATTGGTCCCCGGCAACGGCGCCAAAAACTTGATCGCGGGATCAGGTCTTCCCCTTTCCTATCCCTGATTCTGCAAGTGCACAGGTCAGAAGTAGTAAACGGGTATCGAACACAAGGACCAGATTGCACACTACAAGTTATGAGTTTGAGATCAAGCTAGGGCAAAAGTATAAGTTGGTTGAGTGCAGAGAAAGTAAAGCATGCAAGTAATAAAGTGAGATTCAATAGGAGAGAAAGGCTAAGCAATAGGATAGTCTTGAGATAAGCAATTCAAGAAGCATGAAATCAATCAATTAGGGTTACCGCACTTAGGTGCTAATCTAGAACTTGAAACACTATGGTATGATCATTCCACTGTCGAGGCTCCGACCCCTTTGTTAATCTACCTAGTCGCTAAACTTTTGGTATGTCCCTAGGTGATTAAATCAAGCATTAGTTCGATCAAGATCAATTGTTCACAACCTACAAGTAGATCAACTGTCGCAGTCTAAAAGAGATTGCCCACCAAATACTAGTTCAGGCGAATGATACAGCACTGTCGAGGCTCAAATCAACCTAAAGGCATATGCTAATTGGCCAGATTAACAACAAGCATTAAGTATAAGCAAAGATGGAGATTATAAGTAAAACCCTAATTGTGATCAATCATCAAGCATCATGAATGCTATCCTTTGACTTCCTATCACTTAACAAGTAAACTACTCAGACATAGAGAAGGAAACGAATTCATATTCATAAGAACAGAGATTCGAATCCTCTCTAGAAAGAGTAACAAGCAAGAACAAAGTAAAAGCAAGCAAAACTTTATTAAGATGTAAAATAGATGTGGTCTCTCTCCTTCTTGAGTTACAAGGCTAAAAAGAAGTATTTATAATGCTCTAAGTATAAGAAGCGGCTAAACCTAATCTAGCTAGGTCGGCGCCGGCTTTGGGCTTGAATTGTGCGGATTGGGCTTCAAAAACGGCTTCGGGTCGACCGCGGCGTTCGGACGGTCGGTCGGGACGATCGGCCGGACAGTCGGGTTGTGGCCGAGTCGGAACGGTCGGGCCGGATGATTTCACGGTCGGCCGGCTGGTCGGCGGAGAAGATTTGGCCGATGGTTTCTCGGCCGGACGTGGGCTTTCCCGGCTCGGACGGATGCATCGGCCGTGGTACGTGAAGGGTTGCGCGGCCGCGAGGCTTGTTCCCGGCTCGCGCGGCATGGTCGTGCGCGGCGTGGCGTGACGTTGGCTTGGCCGACCGCGGGACATGTTTCCCGGGTCGTGTGCGTGATCGGCCGATTTGACTTTGGCCGAGACTTCAGACGGACGGATATGGTTTTGGCCGAGCGCGGAACATTCGTTCCTCGGCCAGCCGGTCTGTGCGGTTGGCGCTGATTCTCGATATGGCCGTCTGGACAGTCTTCACTCTTTTGGCTATAACTCCTTTTCTACTCATCCAAATAGGCCGTTCCACTTGCGTTGGAAAGTTAACTCAATCAGAGCACGCAGGGAACTGGTCTTGATGAAATCCATTGAGTAGATCTTTTTCTAGCTCCATCCAAAGTTGATGCAGGGCATTGAACTGGTTTAGAGTCCAAATCTCCTGTTTTGCTCCATAATGCACCTTTTTACCTAAAATGACTCTTTGCACTATAAATCCATAAAAACTACCTTTTAACACAAGAATCCACTAGAAAACCATTAGAAAACCATAGTAAAATAGCATAAAAAGTAGGTAAAATAGAGGTATATCAGCTACCTCCAGACATGAATTTGCATCCTGTGTTTCATGTTTCTTTGCTAAGGAAACATGTACCGGATCCAAATGCCATTGAACGGGAGAGGCCGGAAGAGCTTAGGAGAAACCTAACTTACCCGGAGGGACCTCTCAAGATTGGTTTGAGACGCGTTCGAGAGCTGAAGAATCGGAGGATTCCTCAAATACAAGTGTATTGGGGGAAACAAAACCGTATGGTTTTGACTTGGGAAGATGAGGAACGATTTCGTTCTAACTACCCAGAGTTCTTTGAAGGAGAGGCTCAGTTGGAGCAAGGAGGACCTTCTCATACTTAAAGGAATTCGAGGACGAGTTCTAATAAGTGGGGGAGAACGTAGTAACCCTGAAGAGGAGTAAGAGAAATCACGGATTTCTCTTCTGGAATGAATAGACAGTTCTAAAAGATGAAGAACGGTCGAAGCAGAAGTGGATTTGGCCGAGTAAAACTCAAGATATGAAGAAAAAAGTGTTTACGGCCGAGAGATGGTCAGCAGGACGGATCACTGTACGGACGTACAGGATGCGCGGGTCGGCGTGATGGGCAGGCGGCCAGGACATGACCAGACAAGAGAATGGTCATGAGAAGATATAGGAAGGACGGTTGGGCGCTTAAGATCGGCCACGGACGGTCACATCCGACGGTGGGATGCTTGTGCGGTACACTTGAGCGGTACATCGAACGAGAGGTTCGGGACGCGGCCGTGGACAAGTAGGACGTGGTTTGAGAGAGAATGGAGTGATCTGCATGTGATAAAAAGACACATGTCACAATAAGAGAAGAAGAAAGTGTGAGTGGGACACTTGTCACTATGAGAAGAGTTCATGTAAGATTACATAAATCTACTTTTGTGAGGTGTCAATGTATATGCGATTTGTGGAGTGTGTCTGGGGCATGTGGCGGCCATAGAGAGGAGCAGGAGACTGACCTGGACGAGGTGTCAGCGGGTCAGGGTGTCCTCCTCCGCATGTAGAGGAAACGCCGCCACTTGTCGCCGGAATGATGACACATGCGCGTTGTGGTGTCAAGAAGTGGTGAAGCCACCAAGTCTCCCTCTCAGTCTATAAATAGCTCTCCCTCACCTTTAGAAAACCCTTTCCTTCATCCTTGTTCTTAAGAAGTGTGAAAAGAAAGTGGTTTGTGTGTGTGAGAGTTTGTGAGTGATAGCGAGATTAGTTTAGGCGATCGTTAAGGGTGAGAGCGTGGTGTAAGCTCTAGCTTCCGATAGCGTGGTGGGTCGGTAAGCTTTAGAACCTTAGCCTTCTTAACATAAACCTTGTTTGAGCTGGATCTAACATTGATGTTGGATCTAGTTCAAGTGCAGAGTGAATATCTCGGTTTGTGAGCAGTCCAGCCTGATCTTCGTGATAAGTGAGTCCCGGTAGCTTAAGACTTTAAGCTAACGTGATTTTATGCAGGGATAGGATCGAGAAGAAACTCCTTCTCTTTCTTGATTTCTTGCATGTTGTGTGTTGTGTGTTGCATATCATGTGATTTGTGTGTGTGCATTATCATGTGATTGCATATTGTGTGATTACATGTCGTGCATATTTTGAGTGTTGTGTGAGATCAGAGCATGGTGTAAGCTATGGATCTATTGTGTGTTGTGTGAAATCATGGCGAAAGCTATGGATCTATTTTGTGTGTGGTGTGTGAGGTCATAGCGTGGTGTAAGCTATGGACCTGTGGTGTGTTGTGTGTGGTCATAGCGTGGTGTAAGCTATGGACCTTGTGTGTGTATGTGTGTGTGAGATCATAGCCCAATGCTATGGATCTTTGTGTGTGAGGTCATAGAAACCCTATGGACCTAGTAGTGCGTAAATAGATCATTGTGTGTGTTTGATCAATGATCTTAGCGGTGTATCGTGATGCTCCTCCTCCCTGACGGTTCATTCATTGAGAAACCCTCTTGGATGGATCGGCAGGATGACTCAGAGGGTACTTGGGTCGCTCCCATGGCTGAGTACTACACGACGGTGTAGCCCAGGTGTCTCTTGTCAGCGATGGCAAGAGAGTCGGGAGCCGAGTTCTTGATCATGGAAGGGTCAAGAATCGGTGTGAGAGTGCGGTCAGGGTTACTGTGTGTTTCCCTGGCGCGGATATCACGGTGAGGGGAGATCCGTGCATGATAGAAGCCGATACCACGTAGTTTTGGTGGTAGCGTCTTTGCGTAATAGTATATGATGGCGGGTTTAGATTGCCTCAAATTTTCACAATTTATAAACCCAACTAATGAGCTGCAAGTGCACAGCCGTGTTGTAGTCGGGGTCGAACACGAGGAGGAAGTGTTCTCGCTTAACACCTTGTGAGATTGGTTTGTAGCTAGCTCGCAATATGAGATGGTTTTGGACCTAGAATGAGAAAACAAAACAAAAGAGATGTGAGTGAGTTGTAAACAATTTAAAACAAGAGTTAGGCAAAGGACAATCATATGGAGCAATGATGAAAAGATAGTTGCATGGGATGTGTGTAGAGCCGTCTTGAACATGAATCACTAGTGTATGGTCTTTCCACTGTCGTGGCTCCAACCACTATGTTTAAAACAACCTAATATACTCAGCTTTCGTTGGCTATTAGAATTGCAAACATGCATTAAAGGTGATCAAGATTCAATTGTTCACAATAAACCATAACTCAGCTTTCGTTGGCTATGATCTATTGCTCACCAAATACTAGTTTTGAGATCTAGATTCAGCACTGTCGTGGTTCTATTTCTCTAAGATCAGATTACTAGATGTACGGTAGAGTAATCATGCATTAAGCTCAAGTAAAGGTGAAGATCCATAAGATAAATCCCAATAAGTTGCAACACAATCAAATCATCACGGCCACCATAGATCTCCTCGGCCTAACTAAGAGATCTACTCGGCCATGATGCAAACAAGCAAGCAAAGCATGATTGTAAACATTATGCAAGTATTAAAAGAGATAAAGGGATGAAGAAAGCTTCTCTATTGATGAACAAAGTCGGATTCTCCCTTGAAAACTCTTAAATCAAGTTTATAGAAATGGAAACAATGAAAAAAAAGAACAAGAGTTGAGCGGCGCCTCCTTCTTCTTGGACGATCTCCTAGGGCTTCTCTTCTCTGAACTCTCTTCTCACACGTACACTCTTTGATAATTTTCTGACTCTCTTCTTCAGCGGCTAAAAACATGTATATATGGGCGAAGTCGCGTAGGGTTTTCTTCATGCCGGAAAAGGAAAGTTTCCCATGCGCGAGCCTTCTTCTCCACGTCGTGTATGGGCCGACATTGTACCAAGGAAAGCTCCAAACATTAGCCAGGCCTCTTCTCTATTCGATCAAGGCCTTTGGCGCTGCTGCTCGGGCCATTAGACACTCCAAATCCTCCATGGGCTTCGTTTACTCGCTTACCGGACATGTCTCGGTAGAAAATAAGTTCTAGGCCTCATAGTTGATCCAAATGGCTTCATTCCACTTCGACGTGATGCATGACTCAAGTATCTATCTTTCCATATCAAGATCGTAACTTTTGGACGTCGGGAACTCCTCCGCGCGCGGCCAAACTTCCGAAGCTTCGTTCTGCGCGCTAGCGAGAACTAACACTTGGAGATAAAATGATCTTCTTGACTTGGAAACTTGCATGGATCTTGATTTAGGGCTCTTTTACTCCTTTTTGCATCCTTTTTGATTATTTCACCTACAAAGACTTCAAATCCCACAAATACAAGAAAACTACCTCTAAAGGCAAAGAATCTTGCAAAAACCGTTTGAAAACATAGTAATTATATAGTAAAATCATGTAAAATATGGTGATATCAACTCCCCCAGACTTAGCCTTTTGCTTGTCCCCAAGCAAACTAAGCAGGAAAAGAGGTTTGAAAACGTGAGAACTCTCAAATCTTTTGGAAATCCAAATTGACTTATGCTTTAGTAATCCACATGAAACAGCATTGGCAAGTTTTGAATTAAGAACAAAGTACATACCATGAGTTTTGCGATTTTCCCAAAGCGGTCCACCTCTCCTTGGACAATCCAATTCGCCACCCTTGACTCCTTTCATTTCTAAAGGTGTGGTCTCAACTAGGGAGTATCGATCAGCCGGCTTTTAGACTCTTTCTCATCCCCTTGTTTGGCACTTGTCTTTTACTCCATGTTTCTCCTCTCTCTCTTCTCACTTCTTTGAGTTGATTCATCCCTTTTTTAGGGTAGCGAAGTATTTTTTTATTCAACTCCTTCTCTTTATTATAGAGGTTTTGCTTGGATCTTCCACAGACGCGAGTATTGATGGTGTTTGCCACCGAATCCCCGGTTGCTTGGATTCATAGGCCTTCCATAGACGCGAGTATTGATGGTGTTTGCCACCGAATCCCCGGTTACTTGGACCTTACGCTTTTTCTTTAAATTTGAAGGGGAGAGAGAGGGAAGCACGAACTCACTAAGACTTTTTCATTTGATGGAGAGGATGAGGAATCATGCCATTTGTATGCCAAGCCCCTAGCTGAGAAGATTAAGTTCATTAAGGGCGGAGTCAAAGATGGATCCTTCTCAAGTCTTTAGAGATGTAGGCGTTTTTGGTAGATCGATCAACTCATAGTGCACCTGTGGTAAGATGTATTGCCAAGAACTGCTCAATGGTCACTTAAACATTAGTACAATCATGGTTAGATCCAAGATAAGGTCATGATTCTCGACAAAAATTTTGACTCAATAAAAACGACTCGATAAAAGGGAAAAAATGCAAATGAAAATGCCAAAATGAACAAACATTGTTAGTAATCCCCCCAGACTTAACTTGCACCGTCCCGGTGAAAGCAAATCGGATTAAGAGAGGCATAACATGAAGTTCAAATGAAAAATTGAAAAGAAAAAGGTTTAGGATGATGTTACCAAATGTCGACCAATTTATAATGAAGATCAGTTCCGGTTTGGGTCATTCTACACTTCTTTAGGCAATATTGGTCGGTGAGTTTTTAATTTCAGGCCTTGGTTTCCGCCGGTTTGTGTTTTGGCCGAGATTGGTATATTCGGTCGGCCAAAATGTGGTGCTGTGAACTACAGAACAAACCGTCAAAATTTCATGACCTATATTGAAATTTCATCGACCAACCTGGTATTTTATGCCTCTGGTGAAGTTTGGGAGCATTTGTACGAGCGGATTGAGACTTCCTTCACAAAATGGTCAAGTCGGCTCCGGGAAGGAGTTTCCTTGGCCATTGAAGTTTGGCTCGTTCCTTTTCGTTTCTTCCTGCAGAAAAATCCTCCGTTGAATACGTCGAATGCGCTTTCTTTGAAGAATTTTCGTCTCTTAATCCAGCCTTCTTCTTTGCTCTTCAATCGATGCCTAACTCAAGCTTGTCCATAGAACTTGCTCCGCTAAGCGACTAGCGAGAGGTCCATAGGGACTCCGAGTGAAACGAGAGGGGAATCGGAGGATATTACAACCGAACACATCTCTACTAAAGAACAACCTGCGACGAGCCGACTACTACGACCACATGCGCATCTAGCGCAGTGGCGCTGTGTCTCTCTCTTGTTGCGTATGACTCCTTTCAGTCGAGTTTGTGTTCACAACCTCTCACTTTCACCTTTCATATCAGAAACGTCGACTTTCACTTTTTTTTTATATCTCCCCTTTGACTTAAAGTCGGCCACTGATCGTTGGCCTTTAGTCTTTCCCTCCCAATAGCGCGCACCTGTTTCCGGCCTTGCCTTTTGGATCTGCTTTGCCTTGCTTTGCTACCGGGCTTCTAGCTGCCCATAAGGGTAGGAAGATTGAACACCACTTATCAGGGTCAACTCAACTCATATTGGTGTGGCAATCTTGGACACTGGAGACCTGTTTCGCGAGTTCATACAGGGTACAAATTGGAAGAAGAATGAAAAGTTTCAAAGACCTTTTTTTCGTACAAAACAAAATAGAAAAAAAGAATCTAAAAAAAAGGTTAGTTAGGCTCCAGGAATTGATTTCCAACTGGTGGGCGCGCCTATGCCGTGATTTGGATTTGTCGGCCATTTTGCTTGCTTGCCATCGGCCGGATTTGGCGTCTTGGTCTATCTCATCAACCGTGATGATTTCTCCGTCCTATCGTTTGGATTTGCCGACCAAAATGGTATTATATGGTCGCCTGTGAAGTTCGGTGGACTTCGGTCACGCCGTTTGGGAGTTGGCCGTGAATGGATCTCCGTGTATGCGTCATGGCCGAGAGAATTGGTCCGGATTGAATTTCTTCAAATCCGGTTGGGCCAATTGAGATTTTCTTCGACCGAATTGTTTTTCTAACCCTCCTGTGTCATTCCCAAGTGGTGGCCGCCTTGTCTTGTGTGATTTCCTGTGTATCTTCTTTCATTCTCCCTTAGGCCGCCATGTGAATGTTGGTGTTAGGTTGGTGACAGCCTTTCTCGATGTCGCCGACCTGTCAAATAGTTGACTCTTTGCAAAACACTTGAAATCACTTATTAGATGGTTTCTTAGATTGAGATCCTCAAGTAACCAACTTGAGGTTCACAATCCAAGAGAGTAATGTAGAAACTATAAACACTTTTTGGGTCTTGGTTAATGATCCCAAACTTCGAATTATAGTTTAATCTCTGTGAATTCAGGTCATGAAATGAGTTTGACAAGTGATTATGTATTTCATTCAGTAACCCTCAAAAATGTGAATCGATTCAAACCATGAAATATATGTGATTAAGTGCAATGGTTCAAACGATTATCAAGTTAAGATCAGTGGAGGTTATTAACAAATACAGGATGAGAATTGGCTTACCTTTTTTAAGAAGAAACGCCTTGGACAATGGTGGGGTTATTGGGTGGGACACTTTCATTGTTTGGTCTTCTTTGGTCTTCATCCTAAGAAAATATTTTAGTATTTTTGTTTGATTTTTGAAAACTCCTGCAAAATAGAAATAGATTGTTAAAAACCATATGGGTTGCATCCCATAAAGCGCTTTTGTTTTAAGTCATTTAGCTTGACTCCTTCTCTTTCTTTTAATCGTGTTGAAGAGTGGCTGAAGGGCAAGGGATGTAACACCCCCAGTTCGGTCTATAGACATAGACTAAACCACATATGTCACAACTGTCGAGACTCATCAAATAGGCCGTTCCAGAACAAGAACGAATCAAAGTCTAGATCAGCCCGTCCGGTGAATCCGACCCTCTCGACCGTAGCATAAGGCTTTGCAACCCGTACCATGGTCTTGAGTTGTGTCGGCTTGGACTAGCCTATTATCATTGAGTAACCGGGTTTAAAAGAAAACATTCTTTTATATATCAAACTTGTAACACAAATTCTTACAAAACATTTTATACTTTATGTTGCAGCTGCGGCCTAATGCCAAAAGATAATTATACATACATTACCCGAAAATCGAGTTTTGCAAAAAGCCAACCAAACTACTCCGGTCTTCGACTGTTCTGCCTCCTGTTCACAGGATTCTACTCCGAGCTACCTGTAAGACAAATAATCATCATGAGTAACCTAATGTTACTCAGTGAGTTCAGGACCCTCTATACAAAGGTTATTCCCCAAACCCAAACCCCAAAAGAAAAAGGCGGGATCTCATCCGCCACCTGCAACACAAAGCAATTATGCAATATTGCTGCTATAGCCTTAAGACTAACCGTACCCCAATCAAACAAGAACAGGTACGATCAATCCAAGACTATAACAACACTCAAACAAGCAATCAATCAATCAAGCAATGCACACAATCAATCTATATGCAAAGCAACCCTAATCAAGTAGCGGAATACTTGACTTCTACATGCAGTGAGGCCTCTAGGTGCATAAGCCACATTCTCAGCCCACGCCTGTGAAGGTTCACGCTCATCCGGAATCACACAGAAACTAGATGAACGCCTTCACCCGGGCACTACAGTCCATCGCGGTACCCGGTTCATCCTCCATCTATTGGCCTTACTGGCGCACCATGCCAATGTCTGGTTGGATCCCATATCGTCATATGGTACCATACTCGGCCAAGGCAGCTGACCAGGTTATCCTCCGAGTCTTCCTCCCTTCATGCACAGCCTCCACGCTGCCAATCCGGTTGGGCTCTGACGTGCGAGAATGCGCTTGACTACACCTTCCTAAACAACATGTGGTTAGACACGCCACATGTTCTCAGTACTTAGCATATGGGCCTTTACGCACCACTATGCCTCATACCCTCGGTTCTGCGGCAGAGCTTCCCTTGCCTCGGAAGAGTACCCACACGAACCTCGAAAGATCTGGCGGCTCAGCCGTCCGTGATCTTTCCACATCGGAGTCATACTCAACATATGGGCCTTACGCACCACCATGTTAGCATGCACTCGAGGTTTAGCGGCATAGCCATGCTATAACCCCACAACCGATGCATCTCTATGCACCTGCATAAACAAGATCTGACGGCATAACCTTCCCCGAAGGTTACCCATCACAATCTTATCCTATAAGCGTCACCAAAAGAAGATGCTACTTCGGGAGTCACAAAGCTATGTGTCGCTCCCGAATCGAACAAAACATGTGTCAGGATACCACCTACACATATTGTTCCTAGCACCACACCACAATACCAATATGCATACTAAATCAAGCAAGCATTCACACAAACTAATACTCTAACAATAACAAGTTAAAGTTAGTTTCCCACAATACCTGTGATGGGACCTTGGTTTGATCCCGACGGGTTTGATGGTCCTGCTTCTAAAGCATACACCTTACCCGAAGAAGTTAGACGCTTAGTCGGGGATTCTTTCATTGGTCGGGGTGGTGCGTTTTGTTTGCCGGATCCTCCTGCTGTTCCAACAACTCTGTTGGGACAACTAGTGGCGTAATGCCCAAATTCGCCACAAAGATAGCATTTGACGTGCATGAGAGATTCTGCTGACTTGAAGACACGGGGACAATTTCTTGAGAAATGTCCCTTTTCTCCGCATGTGTAGCATCCTCGATCTCCATTTCCAGACTTCTGATTACCCTTGTGGGGTTTTCTTTGGTTAGAAGATTGACCTCCCTTCTTTGACTTGGTTGTCGCGTTGAACTCCATTTTCCTTTTGTTCCACGCCGCTTTCTCCTTTTGTAGATATGTCTCTACATTCACCGCTCTCTCTACCACTTCATGAGGGATGGTGAAAGTGACAGGTTGTAGTCGACCTCCTATCTCCGGTTTTAAGCCTTGCATGAATTGTCTCACCAGGGCTTTATCATCCTCGTTACAGTATGAGGCATACCTTTGTAACCTCATAAACTCCGCTTCATAGGCTCGTACACTCTTCTCGCCTTGCTCCAATCTCAGAAATTCTTGAGTTAGACGATCTCGTGCTTCTGGTGGAAAATACTTCTGCTCAAACTCGAGTTTGAACTTCTCCCAAGTATTGACATACTGGCCTTTTTGTCGATCCACACTCTCCCACCAGTTTAGTGTGTCCTTCCGTAGATAGTAGATTCCAACGTCCTTCTTGAAGTTGATTGGACACCTAGTTGCAGCAAAATTCCTTTCGATGCTTTGTAGCCATGCGTGTAACACCCCCGACGCAAGCTAGACATAGCCGCGCTGAGCGGCGCCACAGTATGCCGAATTACCATCGACGGTCCATCCTCAAGGCCAAGAACACATCAAGGCCGAGGTTAGTCCATCTTTGTAACCGACCCTCTCGAAACAAGAACCTAAGGCTTGCCAACCCGTATTCAAGCTGAGAGTTATGTTAGTCCGGACTAGACTAAATATCTTTGAAACCAAGTATTTAATATACTTAAAACATACTTGATTTATTTCATAAACATTGTCTTACATAAAACCGAAATTGAAAACATCTTATTACATCCTGCGGATGATTTTAAAACAAAAGTTGAAAATTAAAACCATCGAAACCTTACATAGCTTTTACAAAAGCACACCGCAATCTACTCCGGCCTCCTACGTCCAAGCGCCAACTACACCACAGCTACGGTCACCTGCAACAAACAGAGTCATCATAAGTAATCTAGAATTACTTAGTGAGCCGGGATCCTCTACCCATACTACACAAGCAATTCTACCCAAACACCCCAAACAAACAACATGCAATCAAGCAATCAACGACTACAACAACTCAATCAAAGCAAGCACAAGCGGAAGCTTTTAAACAAAACAATCACAACACACGCATACTAAAGACAATGCCGAAGCAAAGCTCTTTAGTCATGCCTTAGACCAATACATGAGTATTGTCTATCACCACTTTCTCCACACCTGCAAACACACAACACATAAACATAATAGTTGCGTCCAACTATTATGCACATACACACACAAAGGAGATAGTCTCAATTAAGAGACTTTCCTACACAACACTCAACCACACTCCACACACACTCTACAGCGCTCACTAAGCTACTACCACCAAAACTACGTGGTATCGGCTTCTATCATGCACGGATCTCCCCTCACCGTGATATCCGCGTCAGAGAAACACACAGTAACCCTGACCGGACTCTCACACCAATTCTTGACCCTTCCATGATCAAGAACTCGGCTCCCGACTCTCTTGCCATCGCCGACAAGAGACACCCGGGCTACACCGTCGTGTAGTACTCAGCCATGGGAGCGACCCAAGTACCCTCTGAGTCATCCTAACGATCCATCCAAGAGGGTTTCTCAGTGAATGAACCGCAAGGGAGGAGGAGCATCACGATACACCGCTAAGATCATTGATCAAACAACACAATGATCTATTTACGCACTACTAGGTCCATAGGGTTTCTATGACCTCACACACAAAGATCCATAACATTGGGCTATGATCTCACACACACAAAGATCAATAGCATTGGGCTATGATCTCACACACCACACACAATAGGTCCATAGCTTATAACACGCTATGTCCCCTTACAACACACACAACATAGATCCATAGCTTCCGCTATGATCTCACACAACACAAACACAAAATAGATCCATAGCTTTCGCTATGATCCCACACAACACACATGCAAAGTAGATCCATAGCTTTCGCTATGATCTCTCACACAACAACAAGAAACCGCGCTAAGTGTTCCATCTCAACCCTGCACAAAACTCGTTAATCACACTTTGAACACTTAGGCGTTTCTTCACTTCCCTACACCACAAATCGTTAGTTTCACAAACTAACTACACCACACACACAACCAATCATGCAATCAATCCCAAGAAGAACATCGCACGTTTCTTCTTGGATCCTAACATGCATGCAACAAACAAGCTTTAACAAAAAGCTATCACCACACAAAACACTCAAAAGTATAACGGTAAGCCTCCTGCTTAGCGTTCATGCTTCCTGCAACCACAAAGTTAGTATCACACATACTAACAACCACTACCACACTCACATGCATCTAATCAAAAGAAACCCACAAGTTTCTAAATGATCTAGAATGCAACACACAAACAAACAAGAAACAGAAACAGTGACTACTCTCGGAGCCACTTCACCGTACTCACCAAACCACTTTGATGAACGGCCTAACCACCACCACACGCTACTCTCCACTTCCTCTAGCTACTCCTTAGCTAGAACTCTCTCCCTAATGATGGCGGGTTTAGATTGCCTCAAATTTTCACAATTTATAAACCCAACTAATGAGCTGCAAGTGCACAGCCGTGTTGTAGTCGGGGTCGAACACGAGGAGGAAGTGTTCTCGCTTAACACCTTGTGAGATTGGTTTGTAGCTAGCTCGCAATATGAGGATGGTTTTGGACCTAGAATGAGAAAACAAAAAAAGAAATGTGAGTGAGTTTGTAAACAATTTAAAACAAGAGTTAGGCAAAGGACAATCATATGGAGCAATGATGAAAAGATAGTTGCATGGGATGTGTGTAGAGCCGTCTTGAACATGAATCACTAGTGTATGGTCTTTCCACTGTCGTGGCTCCAACCACTATGTTTAAAACAACCTAATATACTCAGCTTTCGTTGGCTATTAGAATTGCAAACATGCATTACAAGGTTCAAGATTCAATTGTTCACAATAAACCATAACTCAGCTTTCGTTGGCTATGATCTATTGCTCACCAAATACTAGTTTTGAGATCTAGATTCAGCACTGTCGTGGTTCTATTTCTCTAAGATCAGATTACTAGATGTACGGTAGAGTAATCATGCATTAAGCTCAAGTAAAGGTGAAGATCCATAAGATAAATCCCAATAAGTTGCAACACAATCAAATCATCACGGCCACCATAGATCTCCTCGGCCTAACTAAGAGATCTACTCGGCCATGATGCAAACAAGCAAGCAAAGCATGATTGTAAACATTATGCAAGTATTAAAAGAGATAAAGGGATGAAGAAAGCTTCTCTATTGATGAACAAAGTCGGATTCTCCCTTGAAAACTCTTAAGATCAAGTTTATAGAAATGGAAACAATGAAAAAGAAAGAACAAGAGTTGAGCGGCGCCTCCTTCTTCTTGGACGATCTCCTAGGGCTTCTCTCCTCTCTTCTTCTCTCACTCTTGTATTTTCTCTCTCTTCTTCAGCGGCTAAAAACATGTATATATGGGCGAAGTCGCGTAGGGTTTTCTTCATGCCGGAAAAGGAAAGTTTCCCATGCGCAAAGCCTTCTTCTCCACGTCGTGTATGGGCCGACATTGTACCAAGGAAAGCTCCAAACATTAGCCAGGCCTCTTCTCTATTCGATCAAGGCCTTTGGCGCTGCTGCTCGGGCCATTAGACACTCCAAATCCTCCATGGGCTTCGTTTACTCGCTTACCGGACATGTCTCGGTAGAAAATAAGTCTAGGCCTCATAGTTGATCCAAATGGCTTCATTCCACTTCGACGTGATGCATGACTCAAGTATCTATCTTTCCATATCAAGATCGTAACTTTTGGACGTCGGGAACTCCTCCGCGCGCGGCCAAACTTCCGAAGCTTCGTTCTGCGCGCAGCGAGAACTAACACTTGGAGATAAAATGATCTTCTTGACTTGGAAACTTGCATGGATCTTGATTTAGGGCTCTTTTACTCCTTTTTGCATCCTTTTTGATGGTTTCACCTACAAAGACTTCAAATCCCACAAATACAAGAAAACTACCTCTAAAGGCAAAGAATCTTGCAAAAACCGTTTGAAAACATAAGTAATTATATAGTAAAATCATGTAAAATATGGTGATATCACCTAACTCCACTAAACTCACTCAAACTCTTTAGAAAGAACACACACAGCTTTTCTCTCTAAGACACTCTCTCTCGCTCTCAAGAAGAACAAGAGCACAAGGGATGGGGAAATGGAAGCAAGTAGTCGTGAGTCACCTTGGTTGTCACACTTGTCATGTCTCTTTTGACATTTGTCAAAAAGAATGACACTTGTCGCCGTTTCCTTCCTTTGTTCCATCCAATCAACACTTGTCTTTTTATGTATGTCAGGTTACTCCCTGGTTCGACATGTGTGTCTCTATCTCTTGTCTCACTCTCACTCTCCTCTCTCAAGTCTCATCACGTCCTTATGCATGCAAAAAATTCCGCCAAATGTCCACACCCCATCGTTTCGTCTTTTCTCCGCCCACTCCACGAGAAAACAAACCAATGAAAAGATGCACCTATCCCTTAGGTCTGCACCTCCACTAACTCACACACTCCTCCTATTATAGTGCCAAATACAGTGTATCACGTCCATGTTCATTGTATGAACATTCTTGGATGTTACACATCACATCGCTCCACATGCATTCTCTTGGAAGCTAGCATGTGTCTTCTTCTCTTCTCCTCATTCTCAAGAATCTTCTAGGTGTCAACAATGTTGTAGAGATGACAAAGATTCTCCCCATGCAAGAAAGAATGTTTCTTTCTTAATGGCACACAACTCTCCTCTTCTTTAGGCATGTGTTTCCTTAAAGGGAACATTCTCGCCACTTATCACGTTCTGATTGGTCAATCAATCCGTGATGTCCTTGGCCTCACTTTCGGCACAAAACATCGGCTTAGTCTTCCCTAAGTCCACACCAACATCCTCCTTGGTCTAAATCACGTCCCGCTCGCCGATATAAGCTTTGCCGCCCTTCGGCATAGCCATCAAGCGGCCAGCTTCGTATCTCGAGACCTACTCGGTCGAATCAACTTCTGTCTCGACCGAACATCTTATTTTGTCTTCCTCTTGTTGTCCTGAAGTTTCTGTTGCAATGCTACAACTTTCCATTTTTCGTGTTTCGGACATGGCCGCCTCGATACTCCGCGTTCGTCCGTATGCGCGCAAACTTGCCTATCTTGACTTCCACTCGTTTGTTTCCCGATTTTCTTTGATTGAAATGTTTTATTTGACTTCTAGCTCCTCTCCATGAAGTCCATTGGTCAAATCTCCTCATCTCACACTAGGGTTACTACAATGGTGTCCGCCTGGTAAAGATCTGGCTCTCCTTCAAAGTGGTAAGTCCCCAATGTCTTCATAGTGGTTACTATCTTCACAAAATCTGGTGGTAGCGGCACTCCATTGCCGTTACCGGGTATGGCTCCATGTAATACTTGAGATAAGAGATTACGCACCATTGATAAGCTCGAATCGGCTTGCGTTTGACCTTCTGCTACTGGCGTTGCCTCAACATCCTGTTGGGCTGGTTGGTTTGCAGATCCGGAAGGCTCAACCCGAGCATTCCTTTGCGGGTTTGATGGATGATAGTTTTGAGGTCTTGACCCATGCGTGTGAATGGAGGACGAGTAAGGCGACATAGAGTAGTCCCTTCTCTCTGAATAGTCGTTAGATCGTCGGTTTGACTATCAGGTGCTGGCATGTACTCATGCGTTCTCTCATGATCTTCATTGTCGACTCTGATATCATGCATATCCACGTCTGACGGCTCTCTCCCGTTCATCTCCTCCGGCACCCCCTGACCCAATGATAAATCCCTCGACCACTCGTGACTAGACATCCTGAAACCAGTTAGTAGACAACTTAATATCTAATCCTAATAGGCAGAACAGACCGGATTCCTAATTTGGCTTTTGCGACACATTTTGACTCGATAAAACGGTTGCCCCGTGAGCATGACCATGAACCATGCTCTGATACCACCATTTGTAACACCCCCAGTTCGGTCTATAGACATAGACTAAACCACAGATGTCACAACTGTCGAGACTCATCAAATAGGCCGTTCCAGAACAAAGAACGAATCAAAGTCTAGATCAGCCCGTCCGGTGAATCCGACCCTCTCGACCGTAGCATAAGGCTTTGCAACCCGTACCATGGTCTTGAGTTGTGTCGGCTTGGACTAGCCTATTATCATTGAGTAACCGGGTTTAAAAGAAAACATTCTTTTATATATCAAACTTGTAACACAAATTCTTACAAAACATTTTATACTTTATGTTGCAGCTGCGGCCTAATGCCAAAAGATAATTATACATACATTACCCGAAAATCGAGTTTTGCAAAAAGCCAACCAAACTACTCCGGTCTTCGACTGTTCTGCCTCCTGTTCACAGGATTCTACTCCGAGCTACCTGTAAGACAAATAATCATCATGAGTAACCTAATGTTACTCAGTGAGTTCAGGACCCTCTATACAAAGGTTATTCCCCAAACCCAAACCCCAAAAGAAAAAGGCGGGATCTCATCCGCCACCTGCAACACAAAGCAATTATGCAATATTGCTGCTATAGCCTTAAGACTAACCGTACCCCAATCAAACAAGAACAGGTACGATCAATCCAAGACTATAACAACACTCAAACAAGCAATCAATCAATCAAGCAATGCACACAATCAATCTATATGCAAAGCAACCCTAATCAAGTAGCGGAATACTTGACTTCTACATGCAGTGAGGCCTCTAGGTGCATAAGCCACATTCTCAGCCCACGCCTGTGAAGGTTCACGCTCATCCGGAATCACACAGAAACTAGATGAACGCCTTCACCCGGGCACTACAGTCCATCGCGGTACCCGGTTCATCCTCCCATCTATTGGCCTTACTGGCGCACCATGCCAATGTCTGGTTGGATCCCATATCGTCATATGGTACCATACTCGGCCAAGGCAGCTGACCAGGTTATCCTCCGAGTCTTCCTCCCTTCATGCACAGCCTCCACGCTGCCAATCCGGTTGGGCTCTGACGTGCGAGAATGCGCTTGACTACACCTTCCTAAACAACATGTGGTTAGACACGCCACATGTTCTCAGTACTTAGCATATGGGCCTTTACGCACCACTATGCCTCATACCCTCGGTTCTGCGGCAGAGCTTCCCTTGCCTCGGAAGAGTACCCACACGAACCTCGAAAGATCTGGCGGCTCAGCCGTCCGTGATCTTTCCACATCGGAGTCATACTCAACATATGGGCCTTACGCACCACCATGTTAGCATGCACTCGAGGTTTAGCGGCATAGCCATGCTATAACCCCACAACCGATGCATCTCTATGCACCTGCATAAACAAGATCTGACGGCATAACCTTCCCCGAAGGTTACCCATCACAATCTTACACACAAAAGAGATCTGCCAGCATAACCTTCCCCGAAGGTTACCTAACACAACCTCACAACACAAGAGATCTGACGGCATAACTTCTCTCTCTAGAAGATTACCCGTCACAACCTCACAGAGATTTCTGCAGCATAACTCTCCACAATTTTTACTAAACATTATTGTTTAGAGAGTTATACCACATACTTATGAAACGATAGAAGGAAATAAACTATAACCTAGCTACCGGAACTCACAACTTTTAGACGACCCGGCTGACCCCGACCCTAGCCTCCCCGCTCTAGCCCGATGCTGATCCGCCTCTGGATCTTCTTCTCTTCTCCTCTTTCTTCTTCTTTCTCTTCTCCTCCACGCCTTCTCACTTTCTCTTTCTAGTTTCTCTCTCTAGATTTCAGTTTGTGGTGTGGTTTGGAAATGAAGACCAAGGGGGCCTTTATATAGGTTTTTCGGAAGCTCGAGGTGGCGTCTGGTGGCTTCAGAACGCGACACCTTGCTTCCGCATGCAACCAATGGCATTGCTGCACGCCTGGAGCAGCTTCTTCCATCCCAATCCACTTGAGTCAAATGGCACCTTCCCATTGGTCCATTCCCCAAGCTGCTGGGTAGCTGAACGTGATTGGTTCGTTGAGGATGAGCATCTCCTCCTTGATCCTATCTTCCTGGATCAAGTGGCTCCTTCCCATTGGCTCATTGTTGATCAGATCAACAAGCTGCTGAGTGTCTAGACCTGATTCGTCCAACACATTCCTGTCTTCTCATGAGCAGCTGAGTGCTCACACCTGATTGGTGCAACACATTTTCATCCCATATGAGCAGCTGAGTGCCCATACTTGATTGGTTAGCTTGAACTTATCCTTGATAATAGCTGGTGTCGCCATTCCATTGGCCTTGTGCTTCCTTCTACGTTTCCTCTTGCAGAAGGTTTCGTACGTTTCCCTGTACGGAGGGTTTCGTACGTTTCCTTGACTGGAGGGTTTCGTCCCGTTCGTGCTTGAGAATTAAAATCTCTTATTTTAATCCTTCCGTCATTTCCATGTTTCTGAGCTTTCACATAGCTGCTTGGAAATGTGCGGGAAACCTCTATCCCGGGACATTTGCTTTCTGCGCTTGTCATGGGATGGATCCTCCGTGTAGTGGGATGGTCGTTTCTGGCCGTCCGTCCCGTCTATGTCTTGACCGTGCTTAGCTAGCATGAGGGATATTACATTCTCCCCCCCTTAATAGAATTCGTCCTCGAATTCTTTTAAGGCTATAATGCTTCTCCTTGTTCCATAAAGCTGTGTGCTGCATAGAACTCGGGGTAGTTCTTCCGGAAGTTCTCTTCATCTTCCCAGGTGATAACTTGCCGGTTTTGTCTTCCCCAGAATACTTGAATCTGTGGAATCTCGCGGTTCTTCAGCTTACGAACTCGGCGATCTCCAAGTCTGATTGGACCTTCTGGGTAAGTAAGGTTTGGCTGCAATCGTTCTACCCGTTCAAGTTCAATGGCGCTGGGGTCACGTATATGCTTCCGTAGCATTGATACGTGGAACACTGGATGTAGATTCATGTCCGCTGGTAAGTCTAGGCGATAGGCCACCTCTCCAACTCGCCCAATGACTTGATATGGACCTATGAATCGTACTGCTAGCTTCCCTATCTTCCCAAAACGATCTCTACCCTTTTGAGTGGATACCTTGAGGTATACCCAATCTCCAATGGTAAAGACTATCTCTCGCCGGTTTTGATCGGCATACTTCTTCTGTCGATCTTGTGCCTTCTTCATGTTTGCTCGGATTGTTTGAAGCTTCTCCATCGTTTCTTCAACCATCGGCGGTCCGAACATTCTTCTTTCTCCAACTTCAGTCCAACAAAGTGGAGTGCGGCAAGGTCTACCATATAGTGCTTCATATGGTGACATGCCGATACTGGAATGGTAACTAATGTTGTAGGAGAACTCTATAAACGGTAGATATTCTTCCCACATACCAGCCCAATCCAATATGCACAACCTAAGCATATCCTCCAAAGTCCGGATGGTTCGTTCTGTCTGGCCATCGGTCTCGGGATGAAATGCAGTGCTCATGTGTAGTTCCGTTCCTAAGGCTCCTTGCAGTGCTCTCCAGAATATTGCAGTGAACCTTGGATCGCGGTCGGATACAATGTCCGTTGGCACTCCATGTAGCCTAACTATTTGCTTGATGTATAGGTCGGCTAAGATCTCCACCTTATCAGTATCTCTAACAGGTAACAAGCGAGTTACCTTAGTTAGTCGATCCACTATAACCCATATAGTGTTGTTCTGCCTTGCTCTTGCTATGGGCAATCCTGTGATGAAATCCATAGCAATGGAATCCCATTTCCATTCTGGTATAGGCAGACTTTGAAGTAACCCTCCTGGTACTTGGTGTTCCGCCTTGATTTGTTGACAACTCTGGCATTGGGAGACATATCTTGCCACTGCTTTCTTTATTCCAGGCCAATGATAATATCTCCGTATGTCCTTGTACATCTTCGTGCTTCCGGGATGAATACTAAGTATGGAATGATGCGCCATCCTTAGTATTTCTTCTCGTAACTCTCCTCCTTCAGGTACAGTGATCCTTCCTTGGAGAAGAACGGTTCCATCTTCTGCTAAATGATACTCCTCATTATCGCCTTCTCCTTCTCTAATCCGAGTAGCGATCTTCTGAATTTTCTCATCCCGTTGCTGTTCTTCTCGAATCCTTTGCACTAGGCTGGCTTGGTTTATCGCTTGTAGTCCCGACCTCTCGCTGGACTCTCCTTCCAAGGCTAATAACTTACTAGCTTCAGTTCACGACCTAGTGTCTCTAGATCCTTCTCCACACTCACTTCTGCTCTTCTGCGGCTCAAAGCATCAGCTACCACGTTGGCCTTTCCAGGGTGGTATTGAATCTTCACGTCGTAGTCCGCAATAAACTCCATCCAACGTCTCTGGCGCAGGTTGAGATCTGCTTGAGTGAACAAGTATTTAAGACTTTGGTGATCTGTTAATACCTGAACACTCTCCCCGTACAGATAAGATCTCCATATCTTCAGCGCGAAGACAACTGCCGCCATCTCCAAGTCATGCGTCGGATAGTTTTCTTCATGCTTCCTTAGCTGTCTTGAGGCATAAGCTATTACCTTCTCCTCTTGCATTAGAACGCATCCTAACCCAATCCGTGATGCATCCGTATACACCACATATGGCTTGCCAGGTTCCGGTAGAGTAAGAATGGGTGCTTTCGTTATGCTTCTTTTAGCTCGGCGAATGCACACTCAATTTCTTCACTCCAGACGAATGGAACTCCTTTCCCGGTTAGCCTTGTTAATGGTTTCGCCATGATTGAGAAGTCCTTTACAAACTTGCGGTAGTATCCGGCCAATCCCAGAAAACTCCTTACTTCTGTTGCATTTGTGGGTTGTGGCCAGTCTTGTATAGCCGCTATCTTCTCGGGGTCGACAGAAACTCCTTGTTCTGAAACCCTGTGTCCTAGGAAACCTATCTCCCGTTTCCAGAACCGACACTTGCTGAACTTGGCGTAGAGCTTCTGACTTCTTAGTCTTTCCAAGACCTTCCGCAGATGCTCCTTGTGCTCTTCCTTGGTTTTGGAGTAAACCAATATGTCGTCGATGAAGACTATCACGAATCCATCCAGGTAGTCGTGAAACACCTCATTCATCAATCTCATGAATGCGGCCGGGGCATTGGTCAATCCGAATGGCATGACGACAAACTCGTATTGACCATACCTCGTGTTGAACGCCGTCTTGAATACGTCGGGCTCAAAGATTGAGATCTGATGATATCCGGAGGCTAAGTCGATCTTGGAAAACCAACTTGCTCCTCGCAACTGATCTAACAACTCATCTATCCTCGGTAGGGGATACTTGTCCTTGATAGTGATGTTGTTGATCCGCGGTAGTCAATGCATAACCTCATGCTACCGTCTTTCTTCTTCACAAATAACACCGGTGCTCCCCATGGTGAGGAACTCGGTCGAATGAATCCCTTGTCCATCAAGTCTTCTAACTGTGTCTTCAACTCGGCTAGCTCTGCTGGGGCCATACGATATGGTGCCCTTGCTATTGGTGCCGTTCCTGGTTCAAGACTGATAGTAAAGGGGTTCTTCCTGGATGGGGGCAATTCAGTTAATGCCTTGAATACATCCCCGTATTCACACACCACTGAAATGTCTTCCACCCTCAACTCCTTGTCATCTTCTTCTTCCACCACACTGATAGCAATCAGATAAGCTTCACCACACTCCAACTGCTTCTCTATTAGTAGAGCAGCTACTAACGCCACTGCCGTACTAGGACTGATTCCTTGGTACGCAATCTTCTGACGCTGAGATCCTTTGAAGGTGATTCTTCCTCTCTCACAGTCAAGCTGAGCTTTGTAGCTTGACAACCAATCCATTCCAAGGATTACGTCGAAGCGGGCTAGGGGTAGGACTAGTAGGTCAGCCGAAAACGTCTCTCCCTGCATAACAACAGGCACACCTAACACGACACTAGACGCTTTAAGGACTTGGTCTCCGGGGGTTACAACAGAAACCTCCACCAATCCTATCCTATAAGCGTCACCAAAACAAGATGCTACTTCGGGAGTCACAAAGCTATGTGTCGCTCCCGAATCGAACAAAACATGTGTCAGGATACCACCTACACATATTGTTCCTAGCACCACACCACAATACCAATATGCATACTAAATCAAGCAAGCATTCACACAAACTAATACTCTAACAATAACAAGTTAAAGTTAGTTTCCCACAATACCTGTGATGGGACCTTGGTTTGATCCCGACGGGTTTGATGGTCCTGCTTCTAAAGCATACACCTTACCCGAAGAAGTTAGACGCTTAGTCGGGGATTCTTTCATTGGTCGGGGTGGTGCGTTTTGTTTGCCGGATCCTCCTGCTGTTCCAACAACTCTGTTGGGACAACTAGTGGCGTAATGCCCAAATTCGCCACAAAGATAGCATCTGACGTGCATGAGAGATTCTGTTGTCTTGAAGGACACGAGGACAATTTCTTGAGAAATGTCCCTTTTCTCCGCATGTGTAGCATCCTCGATCTCCATTTCCAGACTTCTGATTACCCTTGTGGGGTTTTCTTTGGTTAGAAGATTGACCTCCCTTCTTTGACTTGGTTGTCGCGTTGAACTCCATTTTCCTTTTGTTCCACGCCGCTTTCTCCTTTTGTAGATATGTCTCTACATTCACCGCTCTCTCTATCACTTCATGAGGGTTGGTGAAAGTGACAGATTGTAGTCGACCTCCTATCTCCGGTTTTAAGCCTTGCATGAATTGTCTCACCAGGGCTTTATCATCCTCGTTACAGTATGAGGCATACCTTTGTAACCTCATAAACTCCGCTTCATAGGCTCGTACACTCTTCTCGCCTTGCTCCAATCTCAGAAATTCTTGAGTTAGACGATCCCGTGCTTCTGGTGGAAAATACTTCTGCTCAAACTCGTGTTTGAACTTCTCCCAAGTATTGACATACTGGCCTTTTTGTCGATCCACACTCTCCCACCAGTTTAGTGCGTCCTTCCGTAGATAGTAGATTCCAACGTCCTTCTTGAAGTTGATTGGACACCTAGTTGCAGCGAAATTCCTTTCGATGCTTTGTAGCCATGCGTCCGCCTGGTAAAGATCTGGCTCTCCTTCAAAGTGGTAAGTCCCCAACGTCTTCATAGTGGTTACTATCTTCAGAAAATCTGGTGGTGGCGGCACTCCATTGCCGTTACCGGGTATGGCTCATGTAGTACTTGAGATAAGAGATTATGCACCATTGATAAGGTCGGATCGGCTTGCGTTTGACCTTCTGCTACTGGCGTTGCCTCAACATCCTGTTGGGCTGGTTGGTTTGCAGATCCGGAAGGCTCAACCCGAGCATTCCTTTGCGGGTTTGATGGATGATAGTTTTGAGGTCTTGACCCATGCGTGTGAATGGAGGACGAGTAAGGCGACATAGAGTAGTCCCTTCTCTCTGAATAGTCATAGTCTAGATCGTTCGGTTTGACTATCAGGTGCTGGCATGTACTCATGCGTTCTCTCATGATATTCATTGTCGACTCTGATATCATGCATATCACGTCTGACGGCTCTCTCCCGTTCATCTCCTCCGGCACCCCCTGACCCAATGATAAATCCCTCGACCACTCGTGACTCGACATCCTGAAACCAGTTAGTAGACAACTTAATATCTAATCCTAATAGGCAGAACAGACCGGATTCCTAATTTGGCTTTTGCGACACATTTTGACTCGATAAAACGGTTGCCCCGTGAGCATGACCATGAACCATCCTCTGATACCACCATTTGTAACACCCCCAGTTCGGTCTATAGACATAGACTAAACCACAGATGTCACAACTGTCGAGACTCATCAAATAGGCCGTTCCAGAACAAAGAACGAATCAAAGTCTAGATCAGCCCGTCCGGTGAATCCGACCCTCTCGACCGTAGCATAAGGCTTTGCAACCCGTACCATGGTCTTGAGTTGTGTCGGCTTGGACTAGCCTATTATCATTGAGTAACCGGGTTTAAAAGAAAACATTCTTTTATATATCAAACTTGTAACACAAATTCTTACAAAACATTTTATACTTTATGTTGCAGCTGCGGCCTAATGCAAAAAGATAATTATACATACATTACCCGAAAATCGAGTTTTGCAAAAAGCCAACCAAACTACTCCGGTCTTCGACTGTTCTGCCTCCTGTTCACAGGATTCTACTCCGAGCTACCTGTAAGACAAATAATCATCATGAGTAACCTAATGTTACTCAGTGAGTTCAGGACCCTCTATACAAAGGTTATTCCCCAAACCCAAACCCCAAAAGAAAAAGGCGGGATCTCATCCGCCACCTGCAACACAAAGCAATTATGCAATATTGCTGCTATAGCCTTAAGACTAACCGTACCCCAATCAAACAAGAACAGGTACGATCAATCCTAAGACTATAACAACACTCAAACAAGCAATCAATCAATCAAGCAATGCACACAATCAATCTATATGCAAAGCAACCCTAATCAAGTAGCGGAATACTTGACTTCTACATGCGGTGAGGCCTCTAGGTGTATAAGCCACTGATATACCTCTATTTTACCTACTTTTATGCTATTTTACTATGGTTTTCTATGGTTTTCTAATGGTTTTCTAGTGGATTCTTGTGTTAAAAGGTAGTTTTTATGGATTTATAGTGCAAAGAGTCATTTTAGGTAAAAAGGTGCATTATGGAGCAAAACAGGAGATTTGGACTCTAAACCAGTTCAATGCCCTGCATCAACTTTGGATGGAGCTAGAAAAAGATCTACTCAATGGATTTCATCAAGACCAGTTCCCTGCGTGCTCTGATTGAGTTAACTTTCCAACGCAAGTGGAACGGCCTAATTTGGATGAGTAGAAAAGGAGTTATAGCCAAAAGAGTGAAGGCTGCTCCAGACGGCCATATCGAGAATCAGCGTCCGAACGCGCAGACCGGCTGGCCGAGGAACGAATGTTCCGCGCTCGGCCAAAACGTATTGTCCGACTGATGTCTCGGCCAAAGTCCAAAGCCACTCGGCCGATCACACAGCACGACCCGGGAAACATTGTCCCGCGGTCGGCCAAGTTCCAACGCTTCACGCCACTCCGCGCACGACCAACGCGCGCGAGCCGGGGAACAAGCCTCGCGGCCGCGCAACTCACTTCGCGTACCACGGCCGATGCATCCGTCCGAGCCGGGAAGAACGTCCCACGTCCGGCCGGAAACCATCGGCCAAACCTTCATCCACCCGACCATGCCGGCACGACCGTGAAATCATCTGGCCGACCGTCCCGAACGACCGTCCGAACGCCGCGGTCGACCCGAAGCCGTTTTTGAAGCCCAATCCGCACAATTCAAGCCCAAAGCCGGCGCCGACCTAGCTAGATTAGGTTTAGCCGCCTTACATACTTAGAGCATTATAAATACTTCTTTTTAGCCTTGTAACTCAAGAAGGAGAGAGACCACAATCTATTTTACATCTTAATAAAGTTTTGCTTGCTTTTACTTTGTTCTTGCTTGTTACTCTTTCTAGAGAGGATTCGAATCTCTGTTCTTATGAATATGAATTCGTTTCCTTCTCTATGTCTGAGTAGTTTACTTGTTAAGTGATAGGAAGTCAAAGGATAGCATTCATGAATGCTTGATGATTGATCACAATTAGGGTTTTACTTATAATCTCCATCTTTGCTTATACTTAATGCTTGTTGTTAATCTGGCCAATTAGCATATGCCTTTAGGTTGATTTGAGCCTCGACAGTGCTGTATCATTCGCCTGAACTAGTATTTGGTGGGCAATCTCTTTTAGACTGCGACAGTTGATCTACTTGTAGGTTGTGAACAATTGATCTTGATCGAACTAATGCTTGATTTAATCACCTAGGGACATACCAAAAGTTTAGCGACTAGGTAGATTAACAAAGGGGTCGGAGCCTCGACAGTGGAATGATCATACCATAGTGTTTCAAGTTCTAGATTAGCACCTAAGTGCGGTAACCCTAATTGATTGATTTCATGCTTCTTGAATTGCTTATCTCAAGACTATCCTATTGCTTAGCTTTCTCTCCTATTGAATTCTCTCTTTATTACTTGCATGCTTTACTTTCTCTGCACTCAACCAACTTATACTTTTGCCCTAGCTTGTTCTGAACTTCATAACTTGTAGTGTGCAATCTGGTCCTTGTGTTCGATACCCGTTTACTACTTCTGACCTGTGCACTTGCAGAATCAGGGATAGGAAAGGGGAAGACCTGATCCCGCACATCAGCCACATTCTCAGCCCACGCCTGTGAAGGTTCACGCTCATCCGGAATCACACAGAAACTAGATGAACGCCTTCACCCGGGCACTAGAGTCCATCGCGGTACCCGGTTCATCCTCCCATCTATTGGCTTTACTGGCGCACCATGCCAATGTCTGGTTGGATCCCATATCGTCATATGGTACCATACTCGGCCAAGGCAGCTGACCAGGTTATCCTCCGAGTCTTCCTCCCTTCATGCACAGCCTCCACGCTGCCAATCCGGTTGGGCTCTGACGTGCGAGAATGCGCTTGACTACACCTTCCTAAACAACATGTGGTTAGACACGCCACATGTTCTCAGTACTTAGCATATGGGCCTTTACGCACCACTATGCCTCATACCTTCGGTTCTGCGGCAGAGGTTCCCTTGCCTCGGAAGAGTACCCACACGAACCTGGAAAGATCTGGCGGCTCATCCGTCCGTGATCTTTCCACATCGGAGTCATACTCAACATATGGGCCTTACGCACCACCATGTTAGCATGCACTCGAGGTTTAGCGGCATAGCCATGCTATAACCCCACAACCGATGCATCTCTATGCACCTGCATTGTGATACCCCGTATCAAGACCTAAAACATCCCAAAGGCCGGGATGGGAAGATCAACACTCTGGGATTGGAAGACAAAGACGTTGGATCTAATCCAGAGATCACAACGAAGACTTGGATCAAGACAGGATCAAGAACGATCGAGCAGAAGTGAAGATACAGCAAGATTGTCCAGGTGGGACGATCATTGTACGAACATGGGAAGAGTCAACAGGACGACGAAATATCAAAGTTCTCCAAATCAAGAAGAGAAGAGTTTGGACGACATAAGAGACCATTCTAAGAAGTTTGGTCGAAGCAGAATGCAAATCGGACGAGCAGATTGAGAGATGGGACGGACGGCCAAGATCTATCCCGCAACGACTGCAAGAAGCGTAAATGTTCGGGATGGAGGTATTCTGCACATTTCCAAGCAACTATGTGGAAGCTCAGAAACATGGAAATGAGAGAAGGATTAAAATAGGAGATTTTAATTCTCAAGCACGACGGGGACGAAACCCTCCAGACAGGGAAACGTACGAAACCCTCTGGACGAGGAAACGTACATTGGAGCAATCTTGTTCTAAGCCAATCAAGTGGTGACACCAGCTACTTGGAGAAGATAAGGATGATCATAACCAATATGGCGAAGACATGCAGCTACTACAATGGAGCCAAAACCATTCAGCCAATCAAGTAGAGACATTGAGCTATTGGAATGGGACGAAATTGTGTTGGACCAATCGTGCGTCAACACTACCTGCTAGGAGAGAGTGAAGCCGTGGATAAGCATTCTTATTGGATGATCTTATCCAAAAGAAATGGACGAATCAAATGGAGATACACAGCAGCTTCTAAGACGGGCCAATCATGTAGCAACATCCACCTACCGAATGAAGACGAAGCAAGCCTAAACCAATTGGGCAACGACACCAGCTGCTATGGAGGAGATAGATCGTGGATAAGCTCCAAGAAGACCTAATCCTATCAGGGAGAGACACCCAGCTTCTCATGAGAGACAAGAATTGTCCAAACCAATCAAATGGAGACATTGAGATGCTCAATGGAGACGAAATGGACTTGGACGAATCAGGATGCAACACCAACCACTGAGAGAGAGGAGAAGCTTCAGGAGTGGATGAGAAGCAAGTGGAGAGATGCAGAAACGGATTGGATCAAGAGCTGACCAATCAGACAGAAGCACCCAGCATCTTAATGGATAAGATGAGTTATAACCAATCGGACGATCACACCACATGCTTGGGGGAAGTCGGCTCATTGGATGAGCATTGAGAGGGATAGGAATGACGTGTGTCATGTCCTGAGACGCCCTAGAGGCCACCAATCAAAGCTACCTAGCCTAGACCGCCTGGATGTCGCGTTCTGAGGCAGTGTAGGTTGCCACCAAGCAAAGCTATGCTAGGCCTAGGTCTCCATGTGTCTGCGCATGACTGGAGACGTCCCAAGAAGCCAGGCAGCCTCCTGAACTCCTATAAATACGCTCCTCCAGCCCCAAGTCCAAACCATTCCATTCCCAAAGCTAGAGAGCACCTGAAAAGTGATTAGAGAGTAATTAAGAAAGTTTTCTTAATTAAGTGAGGTTAGTGGAAGATTAGAGTAGGTCAAGATCAAAGCTTAAGGAAAGCTAGGAGGGTCTTGAAGTCTTCTTAAAGTGGTGAGTCTTGGTGTTATAGTTTTAGCCTTTTGGATCTATGTTTGTGTATGCAGGTTGTATGAACACCAAAGCATGGGAGATGCTTTCTGTTCATATTGGTTATTGGTTCTGTAGTATAACTCTCTAAACAATAAGGTTTAGTAAAAATTGTGGAGAGTTATGCTGCAGAAATTTATATAATATGTTGTGAGGTTGTGATGGGTAATCTTCTAGGAGAGAAGTTATGCCGTCAAATCTCTTGTGTGTTTATATGCAGGTTTGCATTGTTGTGAGGTTGTGATGGGTAATCTTCTAGGGAGAGAAGTTATGCCGTCAAATCTCTTGTGTTGTGAGGTTGTGTCGGGTAACCTTCGGGGAAGGTTAGGCCGCCAGATCTCTTTTGTGTGTGAGGTTGTGTTGGGTAACCTTCCGGGAAGGATATGCCAACAGATCTCTTTTCTGTGTAAGATTGTGATGGGTAACCTTCGGGGAAGGTTATGCCATCAGATCTTGTTAGTGTAGATGCATATCTATACATTAGGTGATGTGAGATTGTGGATGGCTATGCCGCCAAATCTCATAGATGCATCGGTTGTGGGGTTATAGCATGGCTATGCCGCTAAACCTCGAGTGCATACTAACATGGTGGTGCGTGAGGCCCATATGTTGAGTATGACTCCGATGTGGAAAGATCACGGACGGCTGAGCCGCCAGATCTTTCAAGGTTCGTGTGGGTACTCTTCGGAGGCAAGGGAAGCTCCGCCGCAGAACCGGTGGTATGAGGCATAGTGGTGCGTAAAGGCCCATATGCTAAGTACTGAGAACATGTGGCGTGTCTAACCACATGTTGTCTAGGAAGGTGTAGTCAATCTATATGCAATAAGGCGCCTAGGTGCATTAGCCACATTCTCTGCCCACGCCTGTGAAGGTTCACGCTCATCCGGAATCACACAGAAACTAGATGAACGCCTTCACCCGGGCACTACAGTCCATCGCGGTACCCGGTTCATCCTTCCATCTATTGGCCTTACTGGCGCACCATGCCAATGTCTGGTTGGATCCCATATCGTCATATGGTACCATACTCGGCCAAGGCAGCTGACCAGGTTATCCTCCGAGTCTTCCTCCCTTCATGCACAGCCTCCACGCTGCCAATCCGGTTGGGCTCTGACGTGCGAGAATGCGCTTGACTACACCTTCCTAGACAACATGTGGTTAGACACGCCACATGTTCTCAGTACTTAGCATATGGGCCTTTACGCACCACTATGCCTCATACCACCGGTTCTGCGGCAGAGCTTCCCTTGCCTCGGAAGAGTACCCACACGAACCTCGAAAGATCTGGCGGCTCAGCCGTCCGTGATCTTTCCACATCGGAGTCATACTCAACATATGGGCCTCACGCACCACCATGTTAGTATGCACTCGAGGTTTAGCGGCATAGCCATGCTATAACCCCACAACCGATGCATCTATGAGATTTGGCGGCATAGCCATCCACAATCTCACATCACCTAATGTATAGATATGCATCTACACTAACAAGATCTGATGGCATAACCTTCCCCGAAGGTTACCCATCACAATCTTACACAGAAAAGAGATCTGTTGGCATATCCTTCCCCGAAGGTTACCCAACACAACCTCACACACAAAAGAGATCTGGCGGCCTAACCTTCCCCGAAGGTTACCCGACACAACCTCACAACACAAGAGATCTGATGGCATAACTTCTCTCCCTAGAAGATTACCCATCACAACCTCACAACAATGCAAACCTGCATATAAACACACAAGAGATTTGACGGCATAACTTCTCTCCTAGAAGATTACCCATCACAACCTCATAACACATTATATAAATTTCTGCAGCATAACTCTCCACAATTTTTACTAAACCTTATTGTTTAGAGAGTTATACTACAGAACCAATAACCAATATGAACAGAAAGCATCTCCTATGCTTTGGTGTTCATACAACCTGCATACACAATAGATCCAAAAAACTAAAACTATAACACCAAGACTCACCACTTTAAGAAGACTTCAAGATCCTCCTAGCTTTCCTTAAGCTTTGATCTTGACCTACTCTAATCTTCCACTAACCTCACTTAATTAAGAAAACTTTCTTAATTACTCTCTAATCACTTTTCAGGTGCTCTCTAGCTTTGGGAATGGAATGGTTTGGACTTGGGGCTGGAGGAGCGTATTTATAGGAGTTCAGGAGGCTGCCTGGCTTCTTGGGACGTCTCCAGTCATGCGCAGACACATGGAGACCTAGGTCTAGCATAGCTTTGCTTGGTGGCGACCTACACTGCCTCAGAACGCGACATCCAGGCGGTCTAGGCTAGGTAGCTTTGATTGGTGGCCTCTAGGGCGTCTCAGGACATGACACACGTCATTCCTATCCCCTCTCAATGCTCATCCAATAGGCCGACTTCCCCAAGCATGTGGTGTGTCGTGCCGATTGGTTATAACTCATCTTATCCATTAAGATGCTGGGTGCTTCTGTCTGATTGGTCAGCTCTTGATCCAATCCGTTTCTGCATCTCTCCACTTGCTTCTCATCCACTCCTGAAGCTTATACTCTCTCTCAGTAGTTGGTGTTGCATCCTGATTCGTCCAAGTCAATTTCGTCTCCATTTATCACCTCAATGTCTCCGTCTGATTGGTTTGGACGATTCTTGTCTCTCATGAGCAGCTGGGTGTCTCTCCCTGATAGCATTAGGTCTTCTTGGAGCTTATCCACGCCCTCTCTCCTCTTTAGCAGCTGGTGTCGTTGCCCAATTGGCTTAGGCTTGCTTCGTCTTCATTCGGTAGCTGGATGTTGCTACATGATTGGCTGAATGGTTTTGGCTCCATCTGAGTAGCTGATGTCTTCTCCATATTGGTTATGATCATCCTTATCTTCTCCAAGTAGCTGGTGTCACCACTTGATTGGCTTAGAACAAGATTGCTCCAAATGTACGTTTCCTCGTCCAGAGGGTTTCGTACGTTTCCCTGTCTGGAGGGTTTCGTCCCCGTCGTGCTTGAGAATTAAAATCTCCTATTTTAATCCTTCTCTCATTTCCATGTTTCTGAGCTTCCACATAGTTGCTTGGAAATGTGCGGAATACCTCCATCCCGAACATTTACGTTTCTTGCAGTCGTTGCGGATAGATCTTGGGCGTCCGTCCCATCTCTCAATCTGCTCGTCCGATTTGCATTCTGCTTCGACCAAACTTCTTAGAATGGTCTCTTATGTCGTCCAAGACTCTTCTCTTCTTGATTTGGAGAACTTTGATATTTCGTCCGGTCGGCTCTTCCCATGTTCGTACAATGATCGTCCCACCTGGACAATCTTGTTGTATCTTCAGTTCTGCTCGATCGTTCTTGATCCTGTCTTGATCCAAGTCTTCGTTGTGATCTCTGGATTAGATCCCACGTCTTTGTCTTCCAATCCCAGAGTGTTGATCTTCCCATCCCGGCCTTTGGGATGTTTTAGGTCTTGATACGGGGTATCACACGCCTTCTCCGCCTGGATTCATTCTTTCTCTTCTTAGCCGCCTAAGTGTGCGCTCAAGTTGGTCAATGTCAAGATCTTCTTCAATGGTTGTATTTGGATTGGACCTTCTTGTCATGCACCTTAGAAACACACAAAGAGAGAGTTAAGTAAAATTTTTATGAGTTTTTAAGATTTTATGATGAGATGAGCTAGTCTTGAAATCAATCAAGAGATGTGAAGGAAAAGCAACTCCTCCCCGGCAACGGCGCCAGAAAGCTTGATGGCGGGTTTAGATTGCCTCAAATTTTCACAATTATAAACCCAACTAAAGCTGCAAGTGCACAGCCGTGTTGTAGTCGGGGTCGAACACGAGGAGGAAGTGTTCTCGCTTAACACCTTGTGAGATCGGTTTGTAGCTAGCTCGCAATATGAGATGGTTTTGGACCTAAGATAAGAAAAGAAAACAAAAGAGATGTGAGTGAGGTTGTAAGCAATTTAAAACAAGAGTTAGGCAAAGGACAATCATATGGAGCAATGATGAAAAGATAGTTGCATGGGATGTGTGTAGAGCCGTCTTGAACATGAATCACTAGTGTATGGTCTTTCCACTGTCGTGGCTCCAACCACTATGTTTAAAACAACCTAATATACTCAGCTTTCGTTGGCTATTAGAATTGCAAACATGCATTAAAGGTGATCAAGATTCAATTGTTCACAATAAACCATAACTCAGCTTTCGTTGGCTATGATCTATTGCTCACCAAATACTAGTTTTGAGATCTAGATTCAGCACTGTCGTGGTTCTATTTCTCTAAGATCAGATTACTAGATGTACGGTAGAGTAATCATGCATTAAGCTCAAGTAAAGGTGAAGATCCATAAGATAAATCCCAATAAGTTGCAACACAATCAAATCATCACGGCCACCATAGATCTCCTCGGCCTAACTAAGAGATCTACTCGGCCATGATGCAAACAAGCAAGCAAAGCATGATTGTAAACATTATGCAAGTATTAAAAGAGATAAAGGGATGAAGAAAGCTTCTCTATTGATGAACAAAGTCGGATTCTCCCTTGAAAACTCTTAAGATCAAGTTTATAGAAATGGAAACAATGAAAAAGAAAGAACAAGAGTTGAGCGGCGCCTCCTTCTTCTTGGA